GCATGGTTAGACAAAGCCAAGGACACATGGACGGCTCAACCCCCTGATACCCAGCAGGAGCTGCGTGCCTCTCTGTTAGAGTGGGCTGAGCTGATCCTATGGACAAGGGCTTTGTGCATCTAGCCTGTCCTCGTGGCACAGGGCAGAACAGCACAGCACAGTCCTGGCCATACTCAGGCTCACTGGCATGTGGATCACCAGCTCCTTGATCTACAATAGGCTTTCAGTCAGGATCTCAGTGGAAGCACAAACTCTTCCCATCTGCCTGTGGATCCCATTCTATGTAAAGTCCTTCAGACTTCCTAATTGCCCAGTTCTACATGGGTGAACTTCCTAGAGGAGGAATTACCCATGTTTAGCCAGAGCATGGTCTCCACTCCCTGTAACATCTCTCAAGCCTCTGAGAAAATCAGAAATACCTGTGACTGAGCAACCTGCTCTTATAGAAAATGTCCCAGCTCATTGCAGGGGGTTGGACTAGATGACCTCTAAAGGTCCCTTCCAACCCAAACCATTCTGTGATTGAGGAAGGAGAGAGGAACGCGGACTTCTGTGTGTGGCTGGCTAAGCCAACAAAGATGATGACAGGGAAAGATTTGCCTATGGTCAGCCCCACTGCCAAGGGCAAAGATGAAAGTTGTCTTCAGCTGCTGTGCTCTGCTCTAACCCCCAAAAGCCCAGATTAAACACCCACATTAGAAACCACAGATAACCCCTGGTTACCACAGAGATGAATGCCAGAATCCTGGACACCAGTAAAGTAGTGAAATGGACAGAAAGTGTGAAATGGAGGATGGGAGCCTGCAGGGTATCAGGAGGAATTTCCTCTCTGGTTCTTGAGGCGACTACCCCAGTGGAAAAGGTCAGAGGAATGAGAAGGGTGAAAATACATGTTACAGGCTGCAGACTGAGTTTATAAAATTACTCCAGAGAATTTCACTTTTCCATTGCAGAAAGCAAGCCAGCACTGATCCTATGGCACTGAGAAATGATGACATGGATCCAGGAAAGACATAAAATGAAATAGGATGTTGGAAACAGAAAAGTAGGAAAATAAAGGTTAAAGAAAAGATGAGGTAAAGGGAAAAAAAGATAAGTGTATAAGACAGTGCGTATAGAACAGAGAAAAGAATAATGTGGGAAAGGGGCAGGGCAGCCAAAAAGGGAAAGGACAGGAAGAATTCCTGAAAGATAATAAGCATTTTGGCAGTCCAGTATGGATTCAAAAGTTGTCCAAGATCATGGCTGAAGTATTTTCCAGGACCAAGTCTAGGACATGCAATTCTGTGAATCTAAGGCAGTTTACAGAACACGGAAAAATGTGCTTGAGCATGTCCAAAGCAATTCTGCCTCTGGAAAACTGCTGTGGAGGACAGACAATGCCTACGTTAAAGATCAGCTCTGAGCTACCATTTACACTGCTGTGCCATTAGGAGTATTTTTGGATTGAACAAACTTGAGTGCAGACCATCAGTCTTCAACAGAACTTCTCTATTATTTTTTAAGTTTTCTACACATGAATCTATCCTACCAACTTTAATCACTCAAATAGGTGATAAGTGGACAAGGAACTGTCTAAACAGGAGTAAGTCTCCAGAAGAAAACCCAAAACAAACCCTTAAGATTTTAAGTGCAGAGGTGTTTACATTTATCCTTTCCGAATAGAGAACTTCTACTATTTTTTTTTTAGTCAGAGTATTTATTTGCCATGAAGTATAATAGATTCCTACATGTTTTTACTGACTGGGTATTTACTACTGTATAACCATTATGTGTCTATCAAATGGGTGAAGAGGAAATTGGCATACTGTCCGGAATGTGAAGGCTGTCCAGAGGGGTGGAAGGTGCCCCTGGAAACATCCTAGACCAGACTGGATGGAAAGGTGAGGCCTGTTGGCACCTCCCCACAAGTACTTACAAAAAGCCAACAAAACCAAAGGAGTGAACCCCACAATCTTCAAATGAAAAATTATAAAATGGTGATTAGAAAGGGACAAAAAGTTCTGGGAAGCCACAAATCTGAATAAATAAGCATCAATTTTATTGAATCATGAATAATTTAAGACTGGTACAATCATAAGCTTTATTCTCCATGACACAGGGTGGGGAAGGGGTAGAAATGGTGAGAGTGAGAAAGGAAAGGCATGATCTCAGACCATTCACAAATTCCAATCCTAAATGAGAACTGAAAATTAAATAGGGAGAGGAGCAAATGGAAAACATCATAAATGTACACAAAATACTCAATTCCTAGTTTTCTCTTTAAAAATGGCTAGAAAAAATTCATCAAAATGCAGCACTTTTAATCAAATATTTACATTTCTATGTTACAATGAAAAAATGTACATCTTATAGAACATATTTCATAAACTGTTCCACTGGAAACGACTAGATCAAAACAGCAACCTTCCATTTAATATCAACAAAGATTTTTTTGCTTTGTTTTTGTATATTATTCTTTTCTTGAAAGAAAATTGCCACATTTAGACAAGATTTCAAACACATAATATTGAAGTTAAGCATCAACAATGAAATATCAAGTTTGTTTCTTTCAAAACATACAAAAAGGCTAACCAACCCCCTCTCTCCCCTTACCCAAATAAACCATATTTCATTTATGGCCTGTATCATTCTTGGCAGATCTGAAGGAAAGAAAATGGTTTATTCTCCCAATTTATAACTCAACATGAATGTTGCATAGAATCTTGCATTTCTTGTTGATATTTTTTTAAACAAGCCAACTTTGTAAGGAGGAGAAAAAAGGAAAAAAAAAAAAGGAACTGTTTTGAAAAAGCCTTAAATGCGAAGAAAGTCACCTAAGAAAGACTTAATCTATGAAAAATCTTGATAAAAACTAAGACGTGTGCACAACAGGTAACCCTGCTTCCCGAAGTTTCAGAAAAGACACGGAATATTGTGATGCTCAGAATGTCTAGCCTATTCAAAATTGCCTCTCTCACTTTAAGCCAAGCTAGTGCCAATAAAAAAGAACAGAAAATAGAAATTTCTTCCTGAGCTTAAGCACAGGATTAAACATGAGAAAAAAAAAAAATACCCCGTTCCCTACAAATAAAACACTACTTTAAACAGGTCTTTTAGCACTCAGTTAAAAGTCAACTGAGACATTTTCTAGGATATCAAGTCCATTTAAAGCCCTAGCCCTGCAACTGGGTTTTTTTTACAGGCACATGCTCTGTCTGCATGGATTCAGTTGGGGGATTAGGTACCAAAATTCACATTAGTAGCAGGTAAAGTCAGTGCTGGGGAGCAGAATTGTCAAGACTACTGGAAAAATTAACTCCTCTCAAACTCATCATCAGCATGCTATGGATTTGATTCTGTACAGATCAAACCCATTTTTTTTAGTAGTACCAAGAACTGGATTAGGAAAATTGGCTGAGTAACCCTTCTTATTCCATTCAGTGAAATAATGAAATCAGAGTTCATAAGGTTAAAACAGTAACAACACCAAGCTCTTCCCCCCCCACCATTAAAATATTTAAATTTTTCCTTTTACAATATTTTTCTTTTAAAAAAAAAGTAATCAGCACTTAGAAGTTGTAACAGAAGCAGATTCAAGACCAGCTTAGAAAGACAAAGTACAGTTATATTACAGAAAGTCATGAGGTATAATAAAACCATCCTCTCAAGCTGAGTCACAGAAGCACGAACTTGTCTCTTATGTTGCTTTAAACCCACAAGCTCTTGAAAACATGTTTGTAGTAAAATTTCTTCCTTTACATTGAAAAACAAGCATATTCCTGTAATTTATTAGAGTTGAAAAGCTTCTTTTGTCCCTCCTGCATGGATAAACAGCTCTTCAGTGATTTATTAGCTGCAGATTGACATGAACCCAAAACATTATCTCATTTTCCTCCGTTTTTGTCACATTTAAACAAATTCTAGTATCTCATACAAACAATATTCACAGCAACTTATATTTCAAGAGATGACTTTAGCCCTATTTCTTTAAATAAAATCCCATAATATACAGCACTAATTTAATCAAACACAATTAGTACAAAATAAGGCATCACTTTAAAAAGTCAGCACCAAAGGAGAGCTGGAAAGGCTCATATGAATCCCTCCTGAAGAATGAGGTGTTGGCTGAGGTACAGCTGACATGCTGGGGATGGTGGTGTCACCAGGAAAGTGCAACTCTTTGGGAGGTGTTCTTGTTCCCCAACACAAGTACAAGCCTTAACACTGATAGTGTAGGTGTGTGCGTTCACAGAGGAGGAGAAACCAAACCAGGTTCACAGCTCTGCCACAACTCAAAAGCATGGCACAGTTAAACTCAAAAGACACAGTACTCAGTACCTTATTTTTTTTTTCCAGACCCGAATACTGCTAAAATACAATTTTTTTTTTTTACTTTGCAATTAAAAAGAAAAGTCATGGAAGTAAATATTGTCACCAGAGTAGCACTGGAACTGTCAAAGAGCTGAATTTTAATTAACCCGCTTATGGTTGTGCTGATTGGAATGAAACCTCTGAACAAAACCCAAAGTTTTTAGAAAACAGCTGTAACATTTCATGGCAAGAATTAAAAACGGGAAGTCTGACTCATCACTTTGCAGGGGTGTAGCTCGCCTCTGTGTACAGAGCTCACTATACCTGTGCACTAAATACCAAGGGTCCTTTGGAGCTGTAGGACACCATGGAGCACAGCCCTGCCACTGACTTCTGTGAAGGAGGGAAGCCCCCTCTTCTCAGGGTGGATTAGTGGGGTGTAAACGCCACAGAAGTCAGCCCAGCTGGTGGTGTGGATGTATGTAGGAAGAGAATTGGGCCCTGACTAGCAAAGGGCTACCTGATCTTTCACTTGTAGCAGGATTGATTGTTACACAGTGTTTGAAAAAAACCTGATTTGTTCAGACTGTATATATATATATTTATATATTCCTATTTATATATATAATCTTTATAAACACACAATGAAAGAAAGCCAAGGTCTCAGACTGGCAAGGAGAGCAGCGCTTTTTGTTTTAGTTTATTTTTTTCCTTTTCTATTTTTTTAATATTTATTCAAACTTCCCTGTTTTGCAGCTTTGCCTTCACTGAGTATTATTACTGAGAGAAGCGATATTGTTATAGCACCAGAACTACATGAAGCTGAGTTTAATCCATGAAGCTGATTGGTAAAAGTCCAGCCCTCACATAAATGTGTTTGATCAGAAGCAGCATAGGCAAATATTCCCTTTCCCCTCTCTTTCCAGAAAGTACATGGCACAAAGCTGTTTGCTTCACAGCTGTGAAGTTGCCCCCCACCCCAGTCCCTTTGACTTAGTAATGATGATTATTTTTAACATCTTCAGGATCTTAAGCATGAGAGCTTACAGCAACTAAAAAGAAGGAAACAAAGGAGTAGTGCAGTTCTCATCATCGTCAAAAGAAAAAAACATACAAAGGTCACTTGGGTTGCCTGCACCCAGGTTCAAGATTGCTCCAAATGTCTTGTTCTTGCAGCTCTAATACTGAGATCCTTAGCCCAGGAACATGTTCTTTTCATGAGTCTGTGATCAGGGCTCCTGCCAAGTGGAAATGACCTCTGTCTGAGGGAGATCACAACGTTGACTCCAGAGAGGAATCCAGGATGTCATCATGATGGCTGTTGCTGTTGGAGTCACTGTCGTAACTCTGGGGACTGGAGTAGTTGGCTGCCTCCTGCAGTCTCATTAGCATGTTCATCTGCAAAGGCAAGGAAGTTCATGATTACTTGTATTCTGAGGTAGGAACAACATTAACTCCACACAACTGCTTACAGCGTCATTCTCTTGGCCAGTGAGCAAGGAAAAAAAGGGAGAAACAAGTGGGGTCAATAATGATGAGACTTAGAAAAGAGGTATTGACTGGAATCATAGCAGCATTCAAGTTACTGATAAAACACAGGTTTTCCAGTAAAGGAGAAAATGAGATGATTGAAGGGACTAGTCTACAGCCATAGACCAGTTCCCATTTCTAATCCCTAGAAACAAGGCAAATGAAATAGTTCTGCTGTTCCAGAAATGAGAGCTTACCAGAGGATCTCCTTCAGCATCACTGACTGGAACTTGTTTGCTGGTGGAGCCTTCCCGGGACACAGAGTAGCCATCAAAGCCCACATCCTCGGGCCGCAGCTGGAGCAGAGGAGGCCACTCGTGGTGCTGAGGGGTGGCTGCCCAGGGGTAGGTGTCCATTACCCACTTGGCAGGATCCTCCCAGGGCGCTCTCCTCCCATACAACTGAAAGAGCACAAAACCATGTCAAACATTCCAACCATCTTATCCAGTGCCTACCTAACCAAAATGAATGTGCCATGAGTCTTATACTTTGGAAGCAGAGCTGAACATGAAACTTTCCTTACTCTAAGGACACACAAAGCTCTCTGTCATGGCACTGATTTGGAAGGAGCTGGCCACCTTCTTTGAGACTGCAGTGCCTTTCTCTTGGCACCAGCTGAAGGAAGAAATGGCTGAAAATAACATCACCTAATTAAGTCAACTTAAACAATGTCAGCACACAAAAGAAGCCATCAGTGCTGACATGTGGTTTGCACTGGCAGCTACCTTACAAACTGCCATCCATGGAACGTGAAGGAGGAAACATGAGATCTGACATGAGGCAAATAATGATGGATGTCAAGGCATAGTTTTCAAGTCAGATTTTTTTCTTATTCAACTAAGAAAAAGCACCAGCAGCATTTGTCTATGGTCAGCTTCCTAAGTAGCCAAGCTCTGTTTCAAAAATGTTTTTCTGTATGGAATAGACTGAGCTACTGAATCCCAACTTGTATTCTCCCTGTTAAATTCCATTTGCCTTAGCTAGACAACACATTTTAATGCCTCATGACTTCCAAAAGCATAAATACAACTGAAAGTGGCTTTAAAACGTTTATATCCACTTTATAAATATCACCATCAACATACTCCAGCAACTGGAGTTTATCTCTGACATTTTGTCACTGTCCCCTTCCTTTATGCCCCTGCACAAGGATATAAACAAAAGTCTAGCAAAGAAATTCACCAGTTCTCTGATGGATCTAGGACTATCTCACTTTCCTCAATACTATTTCTCCTTGGTATATTTTTTGTGGGTTTAGATTTTGCATGCACAAAGTATGAAATTGCTCTGAAAACCAACCCGTGGTGCGCTGTGAAGCAAGAGAGAGCAGAGATGCCAGCAGATGGTGCTATGCAATCTGAAACAGCCTCCTCCGCAGCCCAAACCCTTCATTCTTCAGGCCTGCTATGTTATCTTCCCAGCATAATGGCTTCAAGATGTGGCAAACTAGATTTCATATTTTAATCTCGTTCTCAAATTTACAATGATACATGTCATTTGTTAAGTGGTGAGAATTTTGTATTTTTCACATCTTTTATCCTGCAAAAGTCTGAGTGGATCTGAGCTCAGGAGAGACTAAATGACTCACAATCCTTTTCCACAGCAACCAGGTCTATTCACCCCTCCCACTGTCACTTTTTCCAGGGAGTAAGTCATAAGACAAGGATGGAACATGTTGCTCCACAAAACATGAAAGAAAAATCACTGGAGTATGAGTGACAGTGGCAGGAAGCCACAGGAACTCTGGGGTCTTCTTTTTGCTGATGCTGCATTCTGTACTGATACACCAGTCAGGAAGAACACAGGTTTTATACAACCTTCTAATTTTCACATCCCTGTTTTGAAGAGCAAAACAAGTCAGCTCCCATGGGAGACTTGAGAAGACTGATTTAGAATAGAGGCTAGACAGAGTTAAGAATAAAGTAGGTATTTATTGAAAGCCCCTAAATACACCTTGGGCAGTACAAGAGCCTGGCCAGAGCTACACCTAAGATGGACCTAAAAATGGTCTCAAAAATAGATGACCAGTCACAAGGTCTCCACATTTTTATAAGTTTTGGTCTATCTGCATATCATATGCAGGGTTAATTGTCTAATCACATTCCATGTGTGAAGTCATGAAGCTCCATACTTCTTGTTTTCCCTCTTCAGTCTACCATTGTTTATGCTTTTGGGCCTGAAACTTGCAACGATTGTCCTTGGTATCAAGCTAGAAATGAAATTGTTTTGCCTACCTACCCTGTGAAGAGAGCTCACTAACACTTACTATGAAGTTCAAAACTACACACCTAGGAATATGAAAAACATGTAAACTAAAACAGGAGCAATTATTGTAAGGATCCATTTGGCTTGTTTGCATTTGACCCAAAATAATTCTCTAAATGAGAAACAGAAATATAAAAATAGCTGGGAGCAGATCCACAGAGATCAGAGAGAAATTATGAGTCCACCTTTCCTTTCTGGCAGGCAGTTTCAGGAAAGATGTGCTCTCAGGAGTCTTTGTGGGTGTGAGGAACAAAAAAACCAGCCCCAGATGAAACACACATTTCTAACATTAGCTTGTTCATTAGCACCACTCTGGCTACTCTTTAAGTATTAAAGTGCATCTTCTTATCCATCAACCAAACAAAAGAAAAATTACTTAAATAGGGATGAATTAGTGCAATTTGGGGAAATGGGACAGAAGGGGATAAAGAACCTAAAGCACAAAATGAGAAACTGAAGTCCTTACATGTGGAACACAAGCCACTCAAATACCCTAAGATATGGGATGGAGGATGGAGATACTGGACAGCACAAGGAAGGTAAAGGATGGTTTTATCAATTGCTCTCTCTCTTTCCCCACTTCCATTACTAATTTTTCAATGCTTTCCACACATACTGATCAGTGATATGAGAGCTCCAAAACCCAGTACAAGGAGCCTGTGCATTAATGAGAGTATCAGTTTTCTCCATTTCAAGAGCAAACGAAGTCACCTGCTCTCCTTTATCTTGTTTTAGGTTGGAAAGATTCCTGGCTCCCATTACCTTCCTTTATAACAAGTTTTATGTTAAATGGTTCTCCTGTCCTATTTCTAGCAAAGTTCCTGAGTGTGTTTTGTACTCCAGGACCTATTGTTTTCCTCATGTCTAAGTGTCTACCACAATTGTCCCAAAGAAAATGAGGTCTCCAAGTACTAACAAATTTCAAATGGCAGCTGTTGTTTGCCCAAGTTTTACCCACAACTTGGATAATTCATGTATTTCACAAATTTGTAAGAAGCCATTAGTAAAATATGGTTCTAAACCATATTTTAAATAAGATGCTGCTGGGCTTATTTTGTAAACAAAGAGAAGGTTATTAAAAAACCTACTTTTTTCCCCAACCTAAATGGCAAGTCCATAGCAATTCTCTGCTGAACCCTCCTCCCGATTTCAACAAACTGCATAGTCATACAGACACCAACAACTATTCCAAATTGCCAGATTATGAATCAATTACTAAGCACAGACAATCAATGATGATTTCATTTCATCCTCTGAAAGAATTATGAAGGAATCTACTAAAAAAGTCATCTTATGTTCTGAGAAGTAATCAAAATGTCACTGATACTCCTCCTGTCACTCATAAATACATTCTCTCCATACACAGCCTTCTTCCTATGCTGAAAGATTTGATGTCCAGAGGAAAATCCTGTATAACAAAGCTAATGACCACAAGCATATTTTTCTGATGCACAGGATAATTTTAAGGCGTGCTTCTGGAACAAAGTAATAAAAGGTATTTGTATGTCTAATTCCCTGCACTGAAAACATCAGCAGTTTGGCATCTAATCACTTCTTCCACTTTCTGTTTCAAAAATGCTTGAGGAGACTGGTTCTGCCTGAAATTACTGACAATTCTGGTTACATTTTTATAGACATGCAGATATTCAATGTGCAAAGTTACAAAAATGTTGCCACTACTGAGTTTTGTTGCCTTTTGAACAGATCCCATTCTAGACCCATGATTTTTCCCTTTGCCTGCTCACCTGTAGCCCTTCTCTTACTGCCTCCAGAAGATATGGAATGATGGAGTAATTCCACAAGTCAGTAAACCAAACTCTAGAACCATCTACATCTATTGGACAGGAGAGGAAGAGCCGTGGACCTGGACATGGAAATTCAGGTATTACACTCCAATCACAATAAGCATCAAAAATATTGATATTATCTAAAAGTAACATTTTAAAAAAAGTCTTTTTTACATGATATAGCACAAGGAAGTGTACAAAGATACACTTGATATATAAGGAAATAAAATACATATATTTACATATGCCTGGGCAGAGTACTTACCAATAGTAACATCAGAGGAGCTGTGAGCCTCCAAGAATTTGTTCAAATGTTGCCAGACCTTGGGAATCCAATCAATAATCTTAACCAGCTCTGCATTCCTCATCCTGCCACTGATCTCTGTTTCAATCAGTTTTCTTCTCAGGAAACGGCCAAGAAAGCCTTTGACTGGCTCAGTGTGGTTTGCACACAGCACCCATCTATGGCAGAACAGCAGAAATAGCCATTGTTGCTCTGCCATGCTACTGAGTGTAACTGTTCCTGACTACATTTCTTATTTCCAGATTATCAGCATCAAAATGGGCTTCTCCAGTCATACATGTTTTTCAGCAAAAGTTACTCTGGAATATTTCACTAGATGAATCAATTTTTATTGTGCACTGTTTCAGCTCACTTATCATTAATCTGCTTTGTCTAAATATTGTCTTACTGAAAATCTGGTAGGAGATCAAATATCTTAACAATCCTCTGTAAAACAAAAGCTTTATGAACCCATCTCCTTTAATGACAGCACCATAACCAAGCTGCACATGTCAGGGCAGCAGGCAGTAGCAAATGGCATTTCTGTCTCACTTTGGTATTTCAGCTGATAAGAGCAATTTCAGATGACTCAGTAGCCATTACTTCTTTGCCAGCCCACAAACATGAGTGAGAAACATGAATAAACAGTACCTGAAATTATGGTGAAGTTGAAGATTAGGTGTGGAGGAGGTGGCTTGGTTCATTGTGCCAATAATATATGGGCTATTGGGAGAAAAAAAATCAAGCAAATCAAACTTGTGAAGAAGTTTTAAGTAACAACTGAACGTTAAAAAACATTATTCAAAACTCTTTTGCCAAGGAAGGTTTTGTAGTTATTTATGACCAAATTCTCTACTGAGATGCTGAGAACATCAAATTCTGAAAACAAACCAGAAGTCACAAAACAGGACCTTTCACTACAAATGGGGTTTTACTACTAATGATCTATGTCATGAAGCAAATACAACTAGTTTTTTAAAAAATAAGTTTTTAATTACTTATTTCAGAAAAAATTATAATTTTATGGAGGAAAAAGATCCCTCTGAAGCACTATCCACAATATGGACAACCTGATCATCTTCCTCCACATTACTAAATTAACGTGCACTTTGGTATTTTGATTGGATTTTGCAGAAGCAGTGCTCTGAGTACAGGATTTACATCTGCAATGTGTTCTGATACTATTTCTTTACCATTTGTGGTACTTGCAGTTTAGGAGTCCATTAAAAATTTCTCCTAGGGAGCTAACATGGTGCAAATTATCCAAAATGATGACAAGAGGCATATCCACAGCATTATTTTCACTGTTGCACTGATCTGCCAGGTTGGACAGGTACTGGCGGAGTTCCTGCAAAGCAGATATAAAGAAAAGAAGAAAAAAAAAATTCTTCACATTTCTTAAAATAATCAATTAAGATAGATAAGCTTGGTAACAAAATCTAAAGCAAAAGAGTCTGACATCTAACAAATCACATATTTTCTATCAGAAAATAGAAGACACAGTTTTCTTCCTCTTTTGTAGGTTATGCTGAAGACCCAGAGACTGTACCAGAAATCCTGTGTGAGACAAGGGCTTTAGGAGGGGTAATATTTTATAATTTAGTTTGTGTTTTTTATTCATCAATGTCAGACCTAAGAGGTCTGAAATACATTTTTGTTTCTTTTCACAAACTTGATCAACTTTCCCCACACCAAACTGAACTCTGCATTCCACCTAGATTTGTTATATAATCTTGCAACTGTGTTTCCATCAAAATACAGCTGACAAAACTAATCTGGAACAAACCATCCCTCATCAGAGGCAAAATTTGGATGCTTTCAGTAATGCTGGAAAGAAGGACAAGCTTTTGGTGCTGCTGATGAGTGGTTGAAATGCTCTCAGCAGCTTCAAAACATGTCTGAAATCATATCAGTGGTTTAAAACCACAATTTCAATCATCCCATTCCTCCAGAGGAAAATATGCCTAAGGCCATCAAATATACAGCTTTTTTTTTTCTTTTTTATTTTCTTTAATCTAGATGATCACTGGAAGTATATTAGGCAAAACCAGCAGCACATAAAAAAGTGAAGACATGCCTTACCTGCCCAAGAATGTGTCTCTGCAACAGCCCCTCTAAATTCAGCACATGATTACAACTGCTGATACCTGCAGCTGCAGAAGCTCCTGACAGCCTGGAGATGCATTTGAGGGCTTTGGGGAAAGTGCCCGCATGCAATAGGGATTACTTAAGTCTCTGGCAATTTTATGCAGGTGTTTAACTTCCTGGGAAATTCTCAGACTCCTAAACACTTCAAAATTATGACAGCTTTAGGTGTTTAAATACACACCTGGAAGCCTGCTGTTCTAGACTCATAATCAGGTGAATCTGAAAACCTTTAAATATTGTTTCTTTTAGGAGGAACATAATGCTTTGAAAATAAAGGGAAGTTCAGAATGAGAGATTAAGAAAGCTCTCTCATTTTGGACACGTGATTGTGCGAGGATGGTTTGTGCATGCTCACCTTGCTGGATTTGTGGTCGACGTTGAAGGTGGCAATGGTGCCCTCAGCCAGCTCCCTGCCCTCCCTGAGGACCATGTACTCAGACAGGCGGTTGGCCAGGTAGGTTTTGCCTGTGCCACTGGGGCCAGACAGGATGATCCTCCTGTGTTCCATCAGCAGGGACACGTAGCGCTGCAGGATGGGCTTGGGGATCAGCGACTCGAACACCAGCCCATCCAGGCTGTTCTCACAGATACCTGCAGCAGGGAAACAGGCCTCTTTCAGGGGGAATTTCCAATTTTTATCCAAATTGGCCCGATCAAGCTGTTCTTCACTTCAGAGTTAAACCCCTTCCCCACCCTGGTATTCCTTCTGGTTGAGAGAGGCACATACAAAGCTGGAGAACAAGTGCAGGGTGACCTGCACATGGGCTTAGCCTGGATCCTCCTTTAGCCTGTTTAAGTCCTCAGCTGTGTCTCTAAGGCCTTTTGGAAGCTGGCACACCAAAGGATTCCAAGTCACCACTTTTCAAGCGCAAACCATCCATTTTACAACATTTCACCACGCATTCACCCAGAATGTACCTGTTTACTTTTGGATCACTAAACAAAAAAAACCAAAAAACACCAACCCAGCTATCATCAACTCCCCCTACTTTCCCAAATGCTTGTAATTGAATTCCTTCTCTGTATGCTGATAGTTATCTCCCCTAACAGAAAACACCTACTGATAAGCATTTATGCCATGTCAGCAGTCACTTTAGCCAGAACTGGCTCAGGCAAAATACTCAGTGCTTCAATATAAACATCAGGAAGGGAAGCTGGCAGATCACCCAGAGAATGTTTGCATCTCAGTGGTTACTTGAACTATTAAATATTTATATTTATATAAATATTTATGTATTTTATACCACAAAGATATATGTAAGTGATTTTCCATAAATTGATTAAATACATTTCTATTTTAATTGAAAACTGTTATCACTTATGAACTTTCAAGGCACAAATCACACCAGTGCACGTTAAATATAAACTCAAATTGCAGCTTTACAGACACAGGTAGACCTTATGCAATATTTCAATTTGAAATTTTGCAGATTTTTCAGATTTTTGACTGGACAGTGCATTTTATGTAAGTAGTAATCCTGGGTTCATGTCAAGCCTCAGTAAATTGATGTATTTCACAGTTTATTTTGTCTTCCTGCCCACTCATTTGCTGTACAAGGCAACTTGGTTTTTCCACCAATATTCAAAAATCTGCTTTCAGTTAAATTTCAAAGTTGATCTGAAGAATGTTTGTCACTGCTTTCAAATACCATCTGTCTGCAGATTTCACTGGTCTAACTTCGAGCAAAGTGATATATGTTCAAAATGCATCAGTTGAGGGTTTTACCCCTGAACTTAGCTTCATAGTATAGTTTTCATAAAAAAGTGCTCCCCTGAGAAACCAAATGAGAAACACAATACTAAATTTTTATCACTATTACGGAATGAAATTGATGGGGATTCTGAAAACCATACATTTTGAAAAATCCAGATTTTAAGGTGTTTCAGAAAATTTGGGCTCCCTCCTTCCTGGTACTTAAGGAGGGACCCTTCAGCAAGACCAATCAAGCAAATGAGTCAAGATTTTTTTTTTTTCCACCCTGCATGAAGGAAATAACAACTATAGCTGTGATAAGGAGCTAATGAATTTTTGAGGCTTGACTCATTTGGGAAGCACTTTGCTGCTCAAACAGCTCCACTGCATCCATGATGGTGTGAGGTCTTCTCCAGGACAACTCAGTATCTGTGGAGTGTGTAATTATTCCTAGAGTTACAGGTTGAAAACTTGCTGAAATTACAGACTTAGCAAGTCCCCAAGTGCTGACTTTATCAAATAAAAATAGAAGGAAGTAAATAAATGGTAGGAACAGGAAAAAGCAGTGCAATAAAAAGTTTCTACTCCTCTGAGTTTCTTGGCACAGAAAGCTCTAATAAAACTCAACAGTGAAAACTCCACCAGTCAGGTCAGGTGAAATTACCTTTGATAGTAACTGAGATGGTGTTGTTTTCTCCAACCAGGTACCCACAGGGCAGCAGCTCTGGGGTCTCTGCACTGTTGGTGCGCCTGATTTCCCCGATGCTGTAGCCCAGAACACTGTCTGAGTTGAGCCCCAGCTGGCTCACAGGATCCACATGGATGATGTACTCCTGGGGCGGAAAAGGGACACAAAAAGGCAGCACTGGGGTTTCTTTTCTGCTGCAACAGTACTTAATGCACAAAGTTAAATACAGCTTGGTACCATCAAAACCCCACTGGAGAACTCGAGCTCACAGCATTTTGTACCCACTGACCTTAAACAGGCGTCTTACAACCCCATCCAGAATATCCCACTTGGTCTTCCCACTGACTCCAATGCAGCCTATGAGGAAGGTGCGAGGCCTGGAATCCTAAATGCACAGGAATAACTCTATCAGACAAGTGTGGTTAATGTAATTAAAATGCTAGCTTCCCTGCCCCCTCCCATTTACTTCTAAATAATGGTGCATCCTTACTACTCTATATGGGGAATTCTGAATGGCATATGGAATCTTCTTCACATGATAAACATTTTCCAGTGTTGGATCACAAATCTAAAGAATACTTAGGTGTCTGTGTTATGTGTATGTTACATTTGCAAGGTTTATACTATTTATTACTAGAAATTCTGCTGTGGGCATAGAAACTTTATATATATAGAAATTACACATGGCTCTATGTAAAAGTAGTAATATAGAAAGAGAGTTTATATATTATATTTGATGTATCACAGCATTTTGAATTTTGTAAGTGATTTTTAAGGCAGATAAAAGAAATCAGAACAAATATAATTTTTCTGTTTCTCTACAGCTGCACTCACTGTGAAACATTAATTGAACAGAAAACTAATTTCTATCATAAGATTTGAAGTGTTACTAAAACTTGCTCTGACTGCAGTCAATTAGCAGCAGTTTCACTGCTTATCCAGGGTTGTGATAATTAATGCAAAGTTAGTATTTAACGTAAAGATCTGCTGAGTCCATTTTATTTCTGATCATTCAGATTTCTGTCCACGCCTCAGGAAGACATGAAGTCACTTCTTAAACACACTTTTACAGGTACTCAAAAATGCTAGATAGCAAAGCCACTGCTTGGCAAAGACTGTGTAATACTTTTATGCATGCAGAACATTAAACACACAAGATGGGATGCAACTTTACAATATTTGCAATTTATTTGGTATTTAGGATTCTTTCACATACTTGTGGATGGTAAACATCTGAAAGATGTCATTCTAAACAGGGTACTTGTGCCAGAGAGGACAACTTGAACTAGAATGATATGGTCCCAGCTTGGATTTGTCAAGTTCTTCCATGAGATTGGTGCTTCTGGTATTTTGGTCCCTCTTGTCAGCTCCAAGGAAGCTAGAGGTAGCCAAGTGCTTTCTCTATCACTATTAACATACCATAACAAACAATGAACTGTTTTCCTGGGAAAATTCTTAAAACTCCTTGGTAAACTTGAATTCCCTCACACATTCCAAAGTCACTTATGTTTCAAAGCTGGGGATGAAACACAACTCACCTCCTTCCATTTCATCTCATCCTGGAAGTTGACAAGTATTTTGACATGCCTGCCTCCTTCTTTCCGGCCAGAGCCATCTCCAGTGTCATCCAACAGCATGTCTGTGGACAGTAAACATCAACAGCTTCACAGCTGGAGCTCAATTATAATGGAGGCTATTCTGGTTTATTGTAGTCAAACACAACACATCTGGGCTTAACATGGCCCAAGGTAAAACATGAGAACCAGGCTGACTGACTTCCCTGCCACACATCCCTCTTAAAAAGGGAAGGTCATTGAAAATTATTAGCCAGTTACTCTGTATTTTCCTTCCTATGATATATCCCCTGGGAAATGTGCACCATTAAATGGCTTTAAACATGACTTTTCAGAGCTGAGGTCATAATTGGACACTTCTGACTGAGGCTGTAGCAGACCTACGATGATATTTAAAAGAAGGCTTTGTGCCAGCTTGTGACATATTTCCACACCTCAGGTGTTAATAATCCTCATGCTTTCATTTTTCCATGGCTAACCAACCCAAGCTTTCCAAATGCAGGATAAAACCTGCCCCACCATCCTTCTCATTAAACTCACCAAGACTGATTGACTCCGTGAGGTTCAGGCTGTGTTGAGAGAGACCCACTGAGTGTCTGGGGGAGGAGGAGATGGAAACCTGAGACTGAGCCCTGCTACAGCTGCCATGGTTTTCAGATTTCAGCCGATCGTTCTCTGCTTTTAACTTTTCAATCTCACTCTTGAAAACACAAGTCAGACATTAGAAGGCACAGTGAAAACATGACCACAAGATAGGAACATAAGAAACTTAAGAATAAATGGTAGTTTAGCAGAAATGCTGTTTTCCTAATATTATAATTAAGGATTTTAATTATTAGAATGTCCTTTCTGTGAAACTTTTCAAAGTATCCTAAAATACCTAAATGGGAACTCGCTAACTCTGAAATACAACTACCTTAAGGCAGAGAGCATGGAAACATTCTGACAGCCACCAAAATGCTGTCCCCATCTTGGGGTTGAAACAGCTGCAGCTGAGGGCAGCAAAGTCAGGTGTTCAAGCTGACTTTTAATGAAGGTTTAACACTGGCACAGAGCTACACACAGCCTTTAGCAAGCACTCAGAAACATCAGATCTTTACTGTGCGGGTGGTTGGCCAGGCTGCAGGATGTGGGGTGGCTGTTCCTCACCTGCATCCTGTTCATGGCCTCGCGGAGCTGGTCCAGCTGGTGGGCAGAGCTGAGGGCTTCCAGGCGAATGTCCGTCAGCTTCATCTCCTTGTCCCGCAGCTCGTTTCGCAGCTGTATCACTGTCTCAGCCTCACTGTCAGTGCACTCAGAAATACTGCAGGACACAGACAAACACATATGTTCCCTTCCTCATGGTGCCTCTCCAGGATTTATTAGGAGAAGAGGAATAAAGCCTTTTTAATTCTGCTTGAAGCAGATAGCAATTTTGGCTTATTGAATTAGTGATACCATAAATCAGATATTAAACAGGTCATGGAAATTTTAGAGTTTAATGAAATAAAGATGCCTGAGGGTTATTTTCCTTTAATCAGCATCTGAAACAATTACCTGAAATCACCTACTATTGGATAGTCTTAATTTCTTTCAAGGTAGTTGCTTTAATGGAAAAATAAATTAAGGGGGTGCAGCCATTTAACAGCAGTTGGTTGGAAATTGATGAGTTCACGGACAGATTTAAAGCTCACCAGGTGTGCACAGCTGGGTTTCCCTGAACTGCTCTGGAGGGCTTTGGAAATCTACACCTATTCAAGCAGGATAAATTCCTGCTCACTTTAAAGAACTCATGCTTAAAAAAATTTTGGTGGCATTTTTCTTCCCTCTGCCCACAAAAAAAATAAAGTTTCTGAGTGAGTAACAACATTTCAGCACACTTGTAACTGTATCTGTATAAAGATCAACAACACAGCTGCCAGCCTTAAGGAAGATTTTACCTAACATGCCTTCCTCTAAATCAGGTTAATGAGAGATGTTTTCACCACCAAAAAGCCAATAAGCCAAAACACAGTAGTTTTACTTGTGCCCTGTTCTTCCCCCAGTTCACATATTTACTCTTTGTTCATGTTTATTCTTTTGGCTTCCATAGCAAGATGAGATGTACCCACACATCATTTTGGCTGATGACAGATAGGATCATCATTTGACAATTTTCTGGCCTAAGAGTGTTAGAGCACAACTTGTTGTAGTCACCAGAAATGCACCAAGTTAGGCTCAAGAGACAGAAGAAGCTTTGAAACAAAAATCATAGAGGATTATCTTCTGCTACTGACATTTTATTACTGTTATACAGCTGGAAACTATTGCTATTGTTTTCTTCATGTGAAAAAGAGTGGAGGGGAACAACTCCAATGCATTTGTTCTGAAATCAGGCTGGAAGCTGTACACGACCTCCCAAGGTCAGGAGGATGTCTGGTAATTACAGGTTTCACAATACTGCCTTTTAAAACTTTCTGTATTTGTTTATCCTGTTTAAGTAACAAAGCTACTGATGGAATTAACATAAAAGCTGTTTTACTAAATTTTCCATGCACATTCTAAAATGTGAGTTCAGACTGAAAACAGTGTGGCAAGGGATATGTTAAACTTTATTTCAGAGGTGGCCATGGAAAGGACCAGGCACAGGTGGCTAGTGAGCTACAGAAGGAAAGAGAGGTGGATCATCTCCATTCACCCAGCACAAGTGGTTAGGTGAGTTCATCTGTATCACTAAACCACAGTGTTTGATTTTGTTTCCTTTATCTTTGTCAACAGAATTGGGAATTTACCACGGCAGATTAATACAATATGTGCTGTGTTTAGACAAGAGAAACAAAATCCCAGATTTGACCTAGATTGTTTAATTAACAGCAAGAGATCCAATTACTTTGGCATCTCAAGGTCACCCTGATTATAAATATTCTTGATAGTCAGTACATTCTGCTGAGAAAGCAACCCAATGAAATATTTACACTTCAGTACTGATGCAGTGATTTTTGGCTTCCTGAACACCAATGCAAAGGTACTGGGTTGGGAGTCACCTCATGCATCTTTAAATCTCTGAATACAGGAATTCAGCATTTCTGTCCTCTACCTTTCCTCTACCAATGCAGCAAGATGCCTTCCATGCTATTTTCTGTCTAAAGTTTACAAAAATCACTTACAGGGAATTGGAGTGGGAAGTTCTCAGCAGTGGTGTTGAAACAGTGGTGTTGTGGTGTGGTAGCTTTGGTGAGGAAGGTAAGGAAGAATCAGTCATCTCCTCAATGTCTGAATGAGAAGATGCCGACTTGGGAGATTTCTTTTTCCCAAAAGCTTGCTTGAAGGAGCTGCGTAACTGGAAAAAACAAGACCACAGAAGCAGGTCCATCATTAAGAGTGAAATCAGGCAAAAAAAGCCACAGAGTAAAAACTCTCAACATGCAAATACTCCAGATGCTACAGCCATTCTCACATACATAGTAACACAGGTGAAAAATACCAAAGCTTTTTTTCTCCTTAACTATTTTATCAGATTAATAAGGTCAATAGGAGTGGCTATGGATACTTCCTATTTTTTAAGAACTATTTGACAGCAAATCCTGTTCAGTGCAACAAGCTTTACAGCGGCGTGGTGACAGCTTGCAGCTGTGCTGGCACAGGGCCCAGCCAGGTTAATGGTGCTAGAAGGGTTAGTGGTGTCAATGGTGGGTTAGCTTTGTACCTCCAAGTTTAAAGTAGGTCCTTCTTACCTCATTGACCTGCCAGAAGAAGTGAAAGCAAAAGGAAGTGGGGAAAGGAAAAAAAACATGTTTTAACAGATAAAGCCACTGATAAGGGAAGTTTTGTATTTCTAAGACAAACACCAGCAATGATTAACAAACAAATACTTTAAAACCGGAACCCTGTTTCCAAAACCGGGTGTCTCAAACCACATACAACCATTTTTTTGCATTACCTGAAGAAGACACCAGATCCAAACTCTTGTAACTATTTAAATTACATTTTCTCCTTAGCTCAGGCAGAGTGCTTTGGCTAAGAGCCAAGTTAATAATGTATTTTTTCATGCAGGAAAAGGTATTTCATCATGTGAAAAGACTGCAACTTCTCTACCTACCTGCAACTAAAAAAACCTTCTGTAATGTGATTGCCCTTTTCCAGACAAGAATTAATATTCATGTCATTAAGCAGATGTTACCCTAAAGTTACAATTCAACAGGTAGTGTTCAAGAAGCACTTGAACAATGTTCTTAGATACTTAGTTTCACTTTCAAGGAGCCCTAAAGGTTAAATCCCCATGGAATCAAGGTCTGGACTTGATCCTCGTGGCTCCCTTCCCACTCAGGATACTCTATGTACACCTTTTAATGCCATTGCAAATTGCATACTGTGCACATGCTGGCATAATATGAGATGGAAGCTGTTTTTAAGCTAGACAAAGACTCCTACAATAAGAAAAGTTGAAAATCTGATGTTTCAGTTCTGGATGGACAGCTGCATTGCTTCTACAAAGAACACAAAGATCTTGGCTGAGAACTTCCTCAGCACTGGTGGAATAAAGAATGTGTGAATCAGATTCAACTCACATATTTTTCCCAGTAGCGTTTTAATTTCCAGTCTTCATTTCACAGCAATGATGTACTCATTTTTAATAACAACATAAAAATACTGTCCTGTTTCTTCTACTTCATGAAAGCTTTATTATTTATTTATCTTTATAATATAGAAATGTTCCCTTAACCTTCTTAAAAAATACTTATCTGATGAATGAGAAATGTAGGCTGAAGAAGGACCATATCCACTATGTTACAATAATAAAGAATAGAAGCTAAACAAGAATTTTATAAAGTGTTTATCACAACCAATGCTTAATGACTAAAAATGTTTTGTGTCACAAACTAAGGGTTGCTAGATATTTAGAAGTTACAACCATTTACTGTCTTTATACTAATGTACAGCACAAGAAAGATTTGGAGATTTTTTTCTATTCAACCAATTATTTAAGGGGCAGAGCAGAAATGCTTCTTTTGTGAAGCAGCTGGCAATACCAAGAAATACCAAAATGAAACCTCTGAGATAAGAGAGAAATAAAAACAAGAACTTGTTCAGGAAGCTCTTTCTGACAGTTCAGAGTTTCATCAACATTTCTGAGAGGATTGTGCAAATAAGAATGAAGCTCTTACCATCTCTAACCACATTTTGCAACTCTACAGATTTACCTGTATATCCAAGGGACCCAGGGAGATTTAAATTCAGTGGGAAGAAAGGGGTTATTTTACTGCTACAATAAAGGATCTAGGACTTCAGTCCAAACTACAGTCAGACTAGGTAACTAAGGCAGTTATGGTCTAATTGTAAATGGAGTTGAAGATAATATACCTTTCCTCCAGTACAAGGTACCTTGTACATAGTACGTGATGAGCAAAGAGGGAAAAATGGGAAATGACAGGTAAGTATTGCAAAAACTTCCAAAAGGGATGTCTGTCACAAGAAAATTTTAAAGATCAGTATTTTTTTTATATTACTCTTAGAACTCCAAGTTAATGCTGGACAAAGAGTTATTAAAGTGTTTAATATGTTCACTTATAAGAAAGCCCTAAGAGATAAAAAAAAGACAAAACCCACAAGAATGATCTTCTCTTGTGGGTTTGTTTTACTTTAATGACAGATGCCACATTTTCTTTAAGGGGCTGAATTTTACCTTTAGCCAGAAATTATCTTTGACAGCTATTTCTAATTTAAGACTGGCCTTTTAGCTGCCAAGCTAAAATTCAATCCTATGCAGAGTCAACACAAGGATATACATCACTTACAACTCAATTAAGCCTTCACAGGAAAGTTTACCCAGGATTTAAGCAGTGCAGAGTCCTTGTGCTGACCTGCTGTACGAGGCAGGAAGGAGCAGCTGGGTGGATTCCACTATGCATGTCCTGACAATTTCACATAAACCTCACACAGGTTGCTAAAACACACTCACCCAATTCTTCCTCTTCTTTTTCTTGGAGTCACTCTCAATGTTGCTGCCCACACTGGAGTGGCTAGTAGCACTGTTAATGCTGGAGACGCTGTCTGAGGAGTGCTGCCTCCGGATCCGCAGGTCCGTGGGCTGAGCAGCTCCAGGACCTGGATGTGAATGGAGGCAGTGTCAAAGTTATCTAGGAAATGTGATGAATGGTATTAATCATGCAATCCTGAAGGAACATTTAGGAAACCCAGCACTCAGACAATCACTTATCCCAATGGATGTATTGCATATTTCAAATCCTTGTTTCCTGTGATGAGGTTAAAATCTGAGATGCTTCAAACTTTTCCTTCAGCAATTTATCCCAGTAAATTACTGGGTTACTCTGGTCTCTGGGTAGCTCTAATGGTTACATCAGACTGAAGTCTCACTGGAGAGCCCTGGGGTCTTTGTATGTGGTGCTTGCCTCTCACCTTTGCAGTTAAGCTCAGGTGTGTTGATGACTCCATTGATGGCAGCCTGAGCAGCAGCATTTTGTTTCTTCAGGAGTTCAATTGTCTTCCGTAACTCATTCAGTTCCGAGTCCTTGAATTAGGAAGAAAAAACATATGATGGTACATGGAAGAAGAACTCCAAAGAAGCTGATTTTCCATCTAAGTTTTGGTAGTTCATAGTGAATTTATGGTATATGTACAAGGAGGTGAAAATGAGGTTTGGGATACCTGGGGAAGCACACCCTCAACAGGGTGCAAAATAGCTTGGGTACTATGATACAAAAAAATTAATGTATTCTGTAATGCAGAAATAATGTCTATTCAAGTATACTGTCCAAAAACACTACGGTGCCACTAGTCTTGTAGGTATTCTTGGTGTTTCTTTCAAACATGCCCATGTATGGACGCATTGGGATGAAAGATATTGCAGTAATATGTAATACTGAAGACTTGTGTCCAAAGCAACAATTGATAGGAACAACCTGATCAGTCGCCACAAAATCCCAGTGCAGAAAATGTAATTGTTTTATACAAATTATTTATTGTATTTTACTCTGCCACCACAAATGAGGGAGCTCAGGCAAATTGTGTATGTGACTTTTTCCACCCCCCCCAGCTACAGAAGGAGCACAGGCAACAATGCTGGAAACAGAAATGAAGACTTCCCAAACCCTTTTGAAGCTTGCCTTTTGTTCTGCTGTCATGGTCAGGCTCTGCAGTCGGATCGTCATGTTCCCCAGGCTCTGCTCAAATGCTGCCACCAGGTGAGCCTGAAATCAAACCACACACGAGTTTGTTCTCTTCCCCCCAAAAGGAGTTTTTATCCAGGTATTTAATCAGTCCATCCAGTGCATAGCATTGTTGTGTAAATGGTGCAGAGAAAGCAACACTGCTTAGAAAAGGTCAAATGAGTAGAGTTACATTATGGAAATGCTTGCCAACAATAAAATATAAATCAAGGTTTTGTATAGAGAAAAGTCAGGCAGAAACTTCCCTCCAGCTAAGCCACTATTTTCCTTGTGGATAACTAAGGCAAAAAGATACTGGCAGTCACAGGGATGGAGGTTCTCACTGTGTTTATCCCACCAGGAGAGCAGATGCTTTGCCAGCTGATATACCTGTATCTAACTCAAAGACTCCTCCAATATTTGAGCGCACCTTGCTACATATCATCCAAAATTCCTGCTGCTTGGCCAATTACCCTATTTTCATTTCCCAAGGAAAGAAAAGAAAGATTTATCTGTGTTTCTTGGGAGAAGAATGTTGACTCTTTTTCCCAGGAAGCATGGAGAATGCAGTGTCCATTACATGAAAGGCATCAGCTAGGAACTGAAAATGACTGAGAAGCAAAAAGAAGGAAAAACAGATTGAGAAGATGGAAAAGAACGTAAGAAACTGTATTTCTAGATACATGACATGGCACTGTTTAATGACCATTCATATGCATGCACACACATATAACTGATCACAGGTATATTTCAATAGATATTGGTCTCATTAGCCATAATAATCTACACATGATAGAAAAAAATAGCTTTATTTATCTATTAAAATTAATTCTATATGCACAGTGACAAGTAAAACTGTGAAATCTTTCCAAGCAGAAGAGGTCATTTTATCACCTGAAAAAATACAGAATAGCAAAACTTTTCACAGAGTTATTCCAGACTCATTCAGCAGCAGCACACAGTTGACTTATCCTAAATAACTGTTCTCACATTCACAATGAAAACAAGCATGAGCAGTACAATAACATGGGGATACCACAATGAAAATAAGCAGAGCCAAAACTGTGAGAAAATGGCAAAAAGTAATTCAAAACCTAACACTACACACATAAGAAAATTTAAATATTTATTTTAAAAACATAGAGTGCACAGCTTCTTTTGGGGAAGATGAACAGGGAACAACAAAGCTGATGTCCACTGATCCTCAGCAATACTTTTCAAAAGCTGAAAATAAACAGGCAAGCAGGAGTGCATGGGTTAGTAACAGGATACAAACTCTCATTGCTTTGACCTGAGTCTTAAAAACCAGCTGCTCTTTCAAAACCGGATGTTGCAATTATTCCTATCTCAAAATCGTTCAGTGAGTTATGGAAAAAAATGTATCTTCACTTTCTACAGCTGGAGCAAAACTGTTTTCAAATTCATGCCCTTGATGGCTTGAGAAGCATCAACAATTGCAGTGTCTATGCAAGGAAACTCAGAAAAAAAATTGTAGATTGAAGAGATTAATTTGAATTGTCTAAGTTTTAATTGCCTTTTATTAAAGGAATCATGTCTAAAGGAAATGTTCAAGTGTCTTAACTAACAGTATTTATTAATCTCAATCTTTTTGAGAACAGACATTGCCTTTTACATAGAAAGAGGGCATGTTCTCTGGAAGGAGGTGATTAGAGACTGAAATTTAATACTAGGACAGTTATAGCAACGTATCTGTAGCCAGTTTATGGACAAATGAAAGGCAGGCTCAAGTCTAAGATGTTTAAATAGCATGAATAAAACACTTCAAAATTTTAACAAAAGGAAATAAGCAAAAATGGAATATTATCAAAATAATAAATGATAGGTTAACTTTTTTGAGAAAAGCCCACAAGAAAAACAAGAAAAACCCACAAAACCCCAAATGACCCCAATCCAAACAAAAACATACAGGAGTGTACATTAAAAACTGTTCTCTGCAAAGAGTAGTAGTAACCACACAGAAATTCTTGAGCAGATGAAGAGCAGCTGGGCCAGACAGCGAGAAGCCTGAGCTGAGCACCGGCCCAGTGACCCTGAACTGAGGGAAGGTGAATGCAATAAAGCCAAGGCAGAGCCATATGAGCTGCTCAGCTGACAAGTTTTTTGTGTGAAGGAAACAAGCTGGGTTATTTAACAACATCATTAAAAAGCTATGCAAGAGAACCTGGTCCTGCTTTCCCACAAGTAAAAGAAACTTCTGGGGGAAAACCAATTCATGTATGCATCCACTTTGTATTTGAAAGGCAAATACAAATTTTAACTTTTGCAAGATGTTTAAACTGTTTCCTTTTCCTCTTGGGACGGTGACTAGGTGGTTTCATGCAGTCAAAGCCCTTTTATTTGACTTTTCTGTTATAACTGTGTTCTTTGTTTTCCGGCCCCATTTTCAAGCTGGACGAAGCACTGTGATGCCTGCAGTGGACAGCACAGATTTCCCCTTGAACCTTTCCTGTGATACTGCTTAGGTGAAACCTGTCCTCTCCTACAGATTCAAAGAGCTGATGGAGAGGAATGTCCCCTTCAAGCAGCACATGTTCTTATGTTTATTCATTCCCATAAACCAGAATGTCAGTATGATCTGATCTGCTGACTATTCATCTGCATCTTATTTACTCTAGAATTGCTTATTCTCCTTGCAAGCTTCTGTGTTGTAGCTATCTGTGACTGTAGCATAGAACACACAAATAAACTTGCTCAGAGTCATACAATATTGCCTCAACACCTCCTGGATTCCAAGTACTTTTTTTCCCCGAGTGTCTTAAATTACTTATCCCTCAAATTCCTGAAAGGAACAAGCAGAAGCATTGTCTACACTGACAAAAAGTCAGGTATCTCCATTCTTTAGGCTTAACTTTAAATTAGTTTCCAGAGCCCCCTACGCCTGTATTATCTATCATGCCATTAACCCTCATCTTTATGCAACAGAAAAACATAATGCATTTCAGTCTGTTTCTATTAACTTTTACTCCTACCAATCATAATCTCTATCTCATGCCATCCAAATGTCAAAGCAAGACACTATTTATAAACAAAACCCGTCCTCAATTATTTCTCCAGACTTTAGAATGGCTCACATACATACAAAGCCAATTTAATATTATAACTCATTTTTTAAAGAAAGGTGTAAGATAATTTAGTAGGGCAGAGGATGCTATTTTTGGACATGTCCCACACATGCATGCAGTTATTTCTTTAAACACATCAGTAATATGAACTGAATGTTATACATATGATATCTTTTTGTCACTTAAAAAATATGGGTAGTAGTTGCTGCATTAAATGCATTCCAGGTTAATGTTTGCTCAGAGTTGTACTCACATTAGCAGTCAGCTGAGTTGTCAGAGCTGACACTTTTTCTTGGGATGCATCCAATTCTCTCCGCAGCTTGCGAATCTGCGGGTTTTAGGAGAATACATCAGTGCATCATAACAAGGAGAAATAAAAAAGCAAGACACACAGTGCAGAGTGTCATTTATGCTTGCCAAAGAGGATGTGCTCTTACCTCTGACTGGCACTTCTCTTCAGGCTGTAAAATAAAAGGAAGTATGTGAGGATATTACAACATAACCAGACTGACAAATTTATGCAAATTCTTTTTTGTATTTCAAAATCTCTAATGTGAATTCCTTATTTTGGATTCCCACATCCATATTCAGTCTAATTTCATTTCCTAATTACTCTCAAGGAAAAAGAAAATAGGCTGCTGGAGGTACTTCCTTCTGCAGGAAGGAGTTTGGGCTCCATCTCCCAGCCTGCTGACCAGTGTACCTCTGATCTCAATCACAGAAGCAAGAAGAAGTCCTGGCTCTGTTCATAAGGGACTGCATGAGGCTCTGAAGAACCAGGACTGCCACAGAACTTGGCGGATCCTAGGCAATTCTCTTCATCCCATGCTCAGCTCTCCATGGGAAGGAGGCCACATTTTTGCATTCCAGTGATGTGAAAAAAAATTCTGAAATTCCTCCCACTTGGGTGCTACCTAAGCACTGCGGCAATGAAAATGTGAGGGCATCCTCACACAGCCAGTTGTGAGGGTGCCAAGTGGATGTACTGACCATCCACTGTGGTCAGCATGATAGAATTGTGGCTACTAAGGCCTGTTTCTAACCACAGTTATCAGCTAAGGAGAAGTATGGGGTAGGAGGTCACACACTCCACTGTTTCTAAGTAAACATGCCTATTAACAGCCACCAGGAAAATTACAGCTATCCAAACACACTACTGGGGCCACTCATGCAGCAAGCACAGGAATCTGAAGCTCTGAGTGCTCACCTGTATTTTCAAACTCCAGTTTGAAAGCCTTATTTTAGCCTTAATGAATATCTACTTGTGGAGAAAATGTTACTGGCATAGCGACTAAATGGCCTTTTTTTAGAATTATTAATATCTGTGCATTAAAAAGTGGACTTAAACTTCCTTAGTAGCAATACATTAATAGAAGGATGGGATGACTTTATTCAGCAAATTTTGGGGTGCTATAAGTAATGAAGTTCAAATCTCCTATCTACTGAGGGGCTTTGTAACAAAACCTACTTAGCACAGCATAAAATACAGACTCAAAAAATCAATGGCTGCTTTTAGGCCATTGAAGTCTGTGTTTAATGAGGATACTGCTAAATACCCACAGGCATCTTCAAAAACATAAATATTCCTTTTGTAGCTAACATTCAGAACACAGTCAAATGAAAACTGCTTTTTTCCTCCTCCTTGAATGGCAAAACTAAATAGCAAGACCAGTCAATTCAATAATTTTGATGAATAAATAAACTCTTGATTTCATTATACTCACTGTGGAATAAATAGATGATGTACTGGACACCAAAGAGAGAGAAGAACCATGCACTAAAGGAAAGAAAATAAGCACAATGAATATAAGTGCACTAACCACAGGATGGAATCATCATAAATCATCCACTGTCAACCACAAATGTATTGAAGAAATACTTTCACAAATTTCATCATCCATCATCATAAACTTAATTATATTTTTGCACCAATAATGTATGGTTTGAAGAATCTGTGTCCAGTTATATATGATCCATAACCTTGGATTTAGTAAAGCTGTTTTAAAATTCTCATAATACTTGTTTGTTTGGGAAAATTAGGTGTGGCCAAGAAAGTTTAATAGAGTTTTGATGAAGATCTGTTCAGAGATACATATTTCTCTGGACAGTTATCTTAAAATTCTTGCAAAAAGGCTTACTCAAGATTAAAAAAAAAACCCAAGAAATGCAAAAGAGATTACAAAATTAAATCTAAGTATTTAATCTTCAGTTTTAGATGAGATTGACAGGGTTTCTTTATTTTTCAGGATGGGAATGTCCTGAGAAAACCACAACACCTGTGTTGTAACCAGATGCTCCAGGAGAAAATGTGGAGGACCCAGGATAAAACAACATTGTCAACAATTTTGGCCCTGTGAATTGTCATGGAAATGCAGCTGTATCTTCCTTCTGCTGACTTAAGGGAGCTGTATCAGTGCATCAATAAACCAAACATTCCCTTTTCCTGCAGGATTTCTTGGTCTTTCTTTAAAGCAACAACATTTTTTAACAAGGCAAAATTTGTTCTCTCATAAAGAAATTAACAGTGAAAACATGGCTACAAAACTTTCTGGAAAAGGTGTAGTTTCAAGCAATTTTTGCATTTAAATTCAATAAAGGACATACATATACACTGATGGTGTAGATGATCTTCAGAAGTCCCTTCCAACCCTAACTATTCTGTGATTCTGAAGGTTGTTACCATCACTCAGACATCAGGGTTTACATATAAATATAACATCATTTCATTCTTTATTATACTATTGAAAAGAAGTACATGAAGCTATTCTTTCTGCTCCTGAAACATGCAAAATTACTTTTCCTTTATTTTTAGAAACTAACAGTATTGAAATGAAACTTCAATTCAAAACTCAGGTAACTGAACACAAATCATGTAAAAAAGCATAAAATCACTTTTTCTTTTCCTAAATCCTCCAGCCACAAAAAAAAAAAAAAAAAAAAAAAAAAAAAAAAAAAAAAGTTTAGGAAAGCTGCCATTTTGGTCTAATTACCTACTGCAATTCTACATTTGCAATAAATGTATTCTGCTTTCCCACTGACATTATATCCTAAGGCAATACTGGAAAGAGAAGTAAACAAGGTCTAAGTTGGCTTCTGAAGGAATGTAAGACAATTTAAAAAAACCCACAAGAAAGTAAAAAAAAGAACATCACATCAATTTGCTTTCTCTGGGTAATCATATTTTCAATTAAAAGATCTTTCTAGTTAGGCATTAAGGACTATACTCCACTAAGAACATAAAAATAAGTGGTGTGAGTCAGAGCCAGGCTCTGTCTAATGATGTGTTCCAACCTTGGGTGCAACCACAGCTCATGCTTACTGAAAAGAATGAAAAGAGACAGATACACAGTGATTATTCCCCAGGTACATCTTTGCACCTTCTGGGAATCAGCAAAGATGGAAATTCCAGGGATGGAAACTGCAGTCAGACCATTATTTTGCCTGCTGTGACTTCTCTACCATTAATTCACTTAACTGCTACTGAACCCACTGATACATTTTGTCTGTAACGAAAAATTCTCTTGTGTTCAGAAATGTAATTCTTTGCAGTTGTTTTAGACCTGCTGCTGAATCAGTAAGTTCTTTGAGTACCTCCATGCCACTGTGCTAATAGAAGGAATGGATAACCGATCTCCACAACAAAACAAATTCAATACACATCCCTTCAGCCATCATTTCCCAAGCTTAAGATTTCTATTTTGATTTTGTATAATAAATGTTCTGTGCTTAAGATCTCCTTCTCACTTTTCTTTACTTGCATTTTCCCTTTAAGATTTTCAAGATGGAATGCCCCAAGTGAAGCAATATTGCACAAGGCCACAAATGGACCCATACAGGGAATATAATATTATTTTCTGGTCTGCCTCCCTATATTCTTCCTTGTTGAATTCTTCTCCTAAAAGAGATGTAACCAAAAAAGAGCCCTACCAGCTGGACAGAGAGGAAACAGAAACCTTTACCATGGACTTGGTCACACACATCTTTGAGTTAGAATCAGCTAGAATTTTTAAGATCACATTGCGACTTTAATACAGGAGAGAAGACTCAAAATGAGAAAAAAAAAAGAAAGAACACATGACTCTGGGAATCCTACTCTTGCCTTGTGAAACATCACCATCACATAGAACCATAGATTTATTTAGGCTCGAAAAGACATCTAAGATTATCCAGCCCAACCATTAATCCAGCACTGCCAAGGTGATCACTAAACTGTGTCCCCGAGTGCCACATCTACATGGCTCTTAAATTCCTCCATGAATGGTGATTCATGTGCATCGTTTGATCCTGTGTATCATTTCAGATGTCTCATTTCAAGGAAAACTAAGGAGTTAATATATTTGTGCAATTTCTTTTTAATGTATCTGCAGATGGCTACTTGAAGGCTATTTAATTAGGGGCCTGAAGGCAGGCTCTTGATACAATTCCTGGTTTTCGCAGCCAGCATGCATCTGCACGCAGGCTACAAACCCAAATTGGTCTGGAGCTATTATTTTAAAGCACTGTAAATGCACAGGCAAGCATGTATAATTTTTAGAAAAGAAAGGCTCCTAGCCGTGATCATCTGCCCAGAAAACAGAAAGAAGAACTGGTGTTGCATGCAGTCAGTAGCACCAAAAGGAGTAACAATTTATATCCCAATGATAATGGACTTAATTTTTTTTTTTTTCTCTTGGAGGCTGAAGTATCAGGGTGGAGCTCAGCTCCTGGGGAAGACTGTTGGCTGGGGGAGTGGGGAAACTGGAGAGCCAAGAGACCATGCAATTTTTATGCTATATTTTTTCCCCATGCAGTCCTGGAGAGTTTGAAAGCTGTTCCTGCTGGCACTTCCACAGCCCTGAACCCTGTCTGTCACAAGAGTTATGTACTGCAAGATGACATACATGCATGACTGCACTTCACACCCAAAGACAAGAGAAAAAAAGGCTTTAAAGAATAAATCCTGGCCCTGCTGAAGTTAATGAGAAACAAATATCTCGTTATCTGCTAGGAAATAATTAAGAAGTAGGTTGGTAAGCTTTATTTAAGACCTGGATTTATGCTTCATTGACACTCAATGATTGTATAAAATCAATTTGTTCATTAACCACAAATTTAAATTTCTATAATATTTTTTTTAATCTATTCTCTCAAGGTGAAGGCAAATCTCTATATTTAGAAACTATATTTAGAAACACTTGATCACTTAGACCTTGCGATTCCCTAAGAAATAAGCAGGAGCTAATAAGCAGGTGACTCCTTCCTTTTCTACAGCCAGGGAAGTGATAGAAGACCTTTCTCCTGAAGACAAAAGTACAGAGACTACACCTAAACATTCAATCCATCTGGTAAAATATTATCCTTTTAGGTGTGAAAAATGGAAGAAAATCTGAAAGGGATCTTCAGCGTGTCCACTGTAGGGTCAAATTCATTCCTCAGATACAAAAGTGGCATTTTCCAACCCCTTTCAAGTCCATAACTTAGTGGATATTTCTTGGACTTCATTTCCATTACTTTTTTCCAAATCAATAGAAAGTGCTTAATAGAACATTTCACCTAACTCTTTTCAAATTTTCCTTTTCTTCTTTTTTTTTAGTGGTATAAACCATTCAATACGCAATATTCAAACATGCAATATTTATTAAATGTTTATCCAAACTAGCCTCTCTGCTCTCTGCTGGACAAGAATTTCTGAACTACAAGGAAGAGTTTAACCTCCAATGTGCCAAAATGGATTTGCTGCAATCTTCAGCACAGTTAAAAGACTAAGGCTACAATTTTTTGGAGGATGTCTTCAATAAAACTGAAGTAAGTTTTGCTGCAGTAGCTCTTTCAGTAAATCACTGAAGTGTGACACAGATGCAGTGATTCAAATTCCTTTACAGATTATATTAGAGGACAATTTAGTAAGAGCATGACTTCATCACAGTATGGAACTTGACTGACTGAGCATCTGGCAGTCTTTGACTGTTTATGATCATTCAGCCTTCTGAGAGCAAAGAAAGGTTAATTCCTGCAATGACCCAGCTTTTAGCCCTACAGCATTATTCTAATAATTTTCAACCCCTAATGAAAATCCTCAGCCACAGACCTCTAAAATACAGTTTAATATACTGATGTCAGATTGACTAAATTCAATAACCAATTAATTAATTAATCTTTCCAGAGCCATATCCAATGTTTTCTACCTCTTCCAATGGCATAAAAACATGATGGGGTAACCAGAATCTCCAGGAGGGCACTTTGTGGCTCACAAATGCTTCTGCAAGCACTGAAGTGTGGGTCCTGTGCACGCCTGGCTCTTGGGGAGCAGCAACCATGGGACACTGGTATTAATGGTGCTGAGTAAGTGCAGGTCTTCAGAAGCAGAGGAAAGAGTCATCAAAGGCCTGTGTGGTCTGTAAAGTACAATCAAGCCCCCAACCCTTGCCAGAAAGGAGATTTAAGACTTGAAGAGTTAATATTGAAAGAGTTTCCTATGAACCACTCCATACTTGACTTTTCTTAAGTGCAATACTTGAGGATTTTAATGTGTGCTCACAGCCACTCCTGCTACAGCCACAGGGATGCCTGACCAGGAGCAACCAAACTAAATATTCATTTAAAGGTAAATGCTTTTTAAAATTATATTTACATGGATTCTTTTTATCAGGTGTGGTTATATTTGAAAAGATGATGAAGCACTAAAAACCCAAGCCTAGATGTTTTGAAGAACTACTCAATTCATTTCTTTGGAAGATCTATTGTATCAAGCCAGGACATTCAACAGAAATGAAAAGCAAAGACAATTTGAGTACAGATTAAATACTGGAAAAATTACTGGGATAGAAACAGTCCAACTGGTATCAGTTATCTATGCTATAAGCAGAACTGTGGAGGTGCAAGTTCACAATATCCCTATTGAAGAAACACTAACAGGCTGACTCTAAGCATGAATTAGTCATTCTGAGAGCACTAAAAATGAAGCACAGGATATGTTTAAGCCGTTTCTTGAAAAGTCAAGGTCTAGGTACAATACTTATTTCCTGTGTCTGACCAAAACAAACATTGAATAAACATCATCATTCTCTCTAGTGACAAGTGACAGGACCTGAGAGAATGTCCTGAAGTTATGTCAGGGGAGGTTTAGTTTGGACATCAGGAAAATCACCCCCAAAGCACGATGGGGCACTGGAACAGGCTCCCCAGGGGGGTGGTCACAGCAACAAAACTGTCAGAGTTTTAGGAGTGTTTGGACAATGCTCTTGGGCACATGATGTGATTGTTGGGGCATCCTGGGCAGGGCCAGGAGCTGGATTTGATGATCCTTGTGGGTCTCTTCCAACACTCTGATTCTACAATCAGAACAACCATGACAAGGACTATGGTTTTACCTAACACTGAGAGCTGAGAAAGCTGTGTTTGAACTGAAAAGCGCTGAGTTCCTGTGAGAACGCCACTCTTAGAGCATTCCTAGCACCACAGGACTTTACTGACCCTCCTCGAAGCCGTCGCGGAAGGAGCCGGAGCGGCTCATGGTGCGGCTCTTCTCATCCAGGGACATGGAGCTGTTGCGGAGGCGTGTGTCGCCATAGGGGTCGTAGGGCCCGTCTGCGTTGGACAGGCTGTGCGTGCGCAGCATGCTGGGGTTGGACAGGCTCATCTGTGCTGCACTTGTGGGGCTTGCTGCAAAGCCAGCAACAAACACACAGTTACTCCAGGAACCACAGATTTCCGTACTTGTTTTTTTTTTTTTGTGCAACTACCAGTAAACTTTTTTCCCCCCTACTTTAAGACACAAAGTTTTGATATCATCTTCTCCAGGCTTCATTGTTTTTCAAGTAAGAGGTAAGCAAACTAGGCTAGTGAATCTAAAAAATCAAGTAAAATGAGGTCAAACACTGGGTGATATGTCTGTGCTTCCACAAACAAGCTCAGTCACCTCACTAACACCTTCCAGGCATGAGCTAATTAACCCTTCATTTAATTTGGAACTGTTCTTCTACAAAAGCTGTAGTATTTTGTCTATACAGAGCAGGACTTACCTTCTTCAAAGCCTTCAAACTCTAAAAAAATTACATTTTTCTATGTATTTTAGTTACAAGTATAAAGAGCTTTAATTTCCTAATAGTTGTATATTTCAGAACTTTCCTTCCACTATGATGTCCTGAGAACTGTAAAATATCAGTTTTGCCTTGAAAGCAAATATTTTCCCAGCCAGTGTTAAAAGTACTCCAATCTCGCATCTCTTGAAAGAACTTCTCTCCTAAAATTATGCCTACTATTTACTAAGAATTTGTTGGTTTGCGGGTAAAAAAAGAGAACAAAATCACTGTTCATCTGGGCAGGTTCCTCGTAGTGTGCTGTCATTACCTGTTTCTATACAGACCATCAACTGATAAAGACTATTGTAGAAGACACGATAATTCAGTTTACAGGTGCTCGACTTTCATATCATCATTTGCTCTTAAATACAATGACCCCTCTTAACTCCAAAATCTCTAAGCTCTCTTCTTAAGAACATAGAAAAACATATTTTCTTTTTTGTTTTTTCTTTTATTCATTGCTGTTTGTGGCCAAATAGCTTTTGAAGCTAATACAAATAATCTCCAAAACTCCACATAAAGAGTTATATTTTTGGGCCTATGACAACACTTTTTGGTTACTTTTTTTAAAAAATTTCATTAACCTTCCTGACAGTTTGCTAGTTGTTGGAAATGTAGCTACGCTATGTGTTTATTCAGCTGAAATTTTGCTAAGTGTCAATTTATTTAAAGCCACTTACTGAATGTGTTTCTTTCCTGAACAATCAAAGAAAGGCTCTAGAATGTCATTACCACAAATCAAGACTACACTAGAAGTAAGTGATGGTGCAATCTGCTCCAAATTCACCCAAGAAGTCCACAAGTACAAGCTTAACTATTTTGCACATAATTATTATATATAAAATAGTTATATATAAGTTATCATAAACAATATAATTATTTTAAATAATAATTATTACTATGGAGAGGATTCTGAAAGTCATAAACAAACAGGTGCTTTCTTTCCAAATGTTACTTAAAGAAAAAATTTACAAATCCGAAGAAATTGCAAAGCTACTAAGTCGTATTTAACCAGCCCACCAGAGATGAGCATCACTACACTTTAAATCAGATTATTTCAACTGCTGATACAGCCAGCTAAAACCTGCAATGCTTCCTGCCAATCAGCTTTTATTGTTTCCTTCATTTAAAACACATTTATAAATGAGATAGAGTGAAGGAATGGCAGTTTTTCTGACTTGAAACTCCCCTGACTTTTATACATTGCTTGATTGAGCTTTCTGCAATTTTCCAACAAGCCACTTGAAAAAGACAAAGATAAAATTCCAGACTGATGAAACTGGCATATACAGTATGTAAAATGCTTGGATTTTAGAGAATTATTACTGTAGAGCAGGCAACATCTTATGTGCTCGAAGCACCCCCAATATGTGATATTAACTGACAGCTCTACTGAATATTTTATAAAGCTCACGATTATATTAAGGAATCTGATTACTCCCAGAGAAGCAGTTTCAAAGTTACTGAAAGTATGGCACCTTTGGGCATACAAGATAATGCTAATTAGTCACACTCATTTCAATGAAGGTGCCTCCTCAGGTTCAATGTGGGCCTTGGAGCTGCTGAAAGAAAATTGTCTTGTGTAACATGCTGTTTTCAGGACATAGAATGCATTGTCATGATTATTCAAACAGATAATTATTCACCAAGCTGCGAGAAGTTAAATCTAGTTCCAGATGGTGATGTTATGCTGGATCCAGATGAAAATGGAGAATTGGTAGCAGTGTCCTGCAATCCTCCTGCTGAATGGGACCGGAGCCATTCCTTTGCATCCTCTTGACTACGGAGCTGGGAGGATGGAGTATACCTGCAAAAACAAACAGGTTTTTCACTATGAACTTTGATATTTTTTAGACTTTCTTGTTTTAAAAAAACCAAACCAACCATGAAATGCCACAAGGCTTGGGGTAGGAGAGAAAGAAAAAGAAAAATGGAAGAATCCTCATACGAAATTAAAGGATTAAATAATATAAACCAAATAGAATTCTTAATTAAGGAGCTGCTCCAAGCTCTTCCAACATGTTCCTACATAATTTCACCTCTGTCTCTGGGGGGGAAAAACCAAACCACAGACTTTCCTATGGCTTCAAGTGTAACCAACCAGAGTGCACCAAATGTTACAGGTAGAAGTTGTGCAGTGTAGCACTGTAGGGTAATATGTAGTGTGTGCTACATCATATGATTTAAAAATAAAACTGAAACTTGGAAACTCTTTCCCCAAGTTATGCCAAAATTCTAGCACAATTTAAATAATTGGTACATCAATAATCTTAGCTGACTTTTTGTGATATTATAACCAAATTCAAGTCAACCAAACCATTATCAGGATTTTTTTCAACAAGCTGTGACCCAGTATTTCATATGCCAGAGGCATTAATATAAGGCCTGTGGAAGTGTATCCCATTTAGTTCAAAATGGGATTAAACAGCATTAAAACATCATAAAGGAGACTATGTTTAGCCTTTTCTGAAGGTAATGAAAATAGCAGAAACATGGTCTATGCCAACATCAGTGGCAAAACACCCACTGGCTTCAGCTTAAGCTTGATTTATTGTGTATATGTGTGAAAAATAGATATATCAGGATAGGTGTTATGTGAGCTCATGATAGGGTACAGGTATCAACAGCAAGAGCATCATGGAAACACTTGTCTGCTGATGGAATTCAGTGTCTGTCTTGGGCTATGCCATCGCCTTTCGACAAATACTTATGAGTTACTAGCTCTGCTTCCAAAAACTTAGAGCCTATTATTTGCTGATATTATCTATTTAATTAATTTGATTCCCTTCAAGTAAATACCCTACAGCAGTAAGACATCACTTATTAAGACTATTTTAAATCAATGGAAACACTGCAATAATTTAAAAAGTCAAACTGTTTAAAAAAATACATTCATGCTTCTGCTTATGCCTCAATACTTCAGCAGCAGTCCCTGACAATCTGCATCTCTTAAACTTTGCATATAAATCAGTTTATTTAGAAAGGGGCTTTAAATAGCCATGTTACCTTAACACACTACAGATTTATTTTTGTTTTCAGCATTAACACCGACCTCTTCAGCACTCAAATGTTTTGGTCTTAGAAGAGAGCATTTATTAGAGACATACTTGAGGACCATAGGAACATTAAAACAAATTGCCATTTTAAGAAAGGCTTTTAGTACTCAGCTTCATGGTGCAAGGCTGCTGTGAAGAACAAGATGCATAGCACAGAAAAAAAAATCACAGCTGCAGTTCCAAGGCAGCGATCCCAGAAGCTGCATTAAGCAATTCAGAAGCTGCAATTTCCTAAATTGTCAAAGATACCTTCTGTAAATTCTCTAACGCATAAAGCATTTAATTAACATAGCCAATAGTAATTCTGGTTAGAATTGCTTGTATCAATGGGGAAAAAAGAAGTATATTATAAATTCACTGCTTTACAGATGTACAAAATATGTGAGAAGATAACTCCTGAAAGTTAATTTGATTTTTTTTTGTTAGTTTCTATGAGAGTAGAGCCCTACAGATTTAGGTATTCTGATGCAAGTTGTTGTTTTGTTTTTTTTAATTAATATATCCAATTTCATCCTGAAAGGTTTGGCATGATCTTGTAAATCATTTCTATTTATATAACAACACCAAGGTTCCCAGGGTTAAAAAACAATCTTAGGTCATTCCATGTAACAGCCACAGAAACAGCAACATCATTGTTTTTAAATCAAGCCCAGGTATGGTTCAAGATGCTTTTCAGCAATTAAGCCAGCAAAAGACACAGTTCTTGCTCAAGCAGAGAGGCCATTGGATGAAAAAAGCACAGTTGTCAATGGCTTTCTTTGAGGATTGAAGGAAAGCAAGAAAGCAAGAAAGCAAGAAAGCAAGAAAGAATGAAAGAAGGAAAAAAGAAAGAGTACTGTTGCCACCTCTTGCAAACTGCGACCATCACCACCAGCCACAACAGAAACACAAAGCAAATTCCAAAGGCACCACAGAAGATGTTAAACCACGTGGAAACACCAATACCTGAGTCCCTTCTTAGGCAAAGTGTTCCTATCAAGATGTGGGTCACTGCAGGAAAGTTAAAAGAAAAGAACTTCAGAGAAGAACAAAAGGGAAGGAATTAAGATCAGGACGAAGGACGTACAAACATCTGCATCACCTTTTCAGAGGAAAAGGTGCTGGGGCCTCCCTACAGAAACATGCACAGACCTCCTCACCCAGGTGGGGTTTGCACAAACATGCAGCTGGTACCATGCCAATGCACCACATCTGTTCACAACATCATTTCACTGTTTCTCCTACCCACAGTGAACAAAAATGGCTCTTTAAACATCAAATGGGTGTTTTAAAAATGGTCTTTTCAGCAGGCTGTTGGTAAAACCCGATGGGAATCTTCAAGTCTAAACCACCTTCCCATCATTTCTTTCAGCAGACACCATTTAGGGAATGTACAGAGGTATTGAGCCCAGACTTTAAATTTCCAAATCTTAGCCTAAGTTCCATTAGCAAAGTAAAACGGACCAATCAGTCACCCAAAGCTCAGCTATTTCTGTTTATGTTTTTACAACTGATGAGCAGAGCCTGTTAATTTGTTTTTTAAAAAAATATCCCCATGCTTAAGTAAATTAATTAAATGACAACCCTTATAGCTAAGTTACAGTATACATCAGTGAGCAAAAGTGAGCTGGAATGTTTAGATTTGTGTCATCTTTTCCTAACTTTAGCATTCATTTGTACAAGGATGAATGTACCTAAGTACTTGGAAAACACTCATGAGCCAAGCTGCAGTAAGAGACTGATGACACTGAATGACAAAGGGACTTCACGACAAAAAGGACAGGCCAGAAAGGCAGTGAGAAAAGCAGCATGCCAGAGGAATGCTGAAATGCTAGTGAGAGTTTATATTTGTAAGGGAAAAAAAAAAGGGCATGATTTACAAATTGCCTTTTGGAAAGATATGAAGGGTGGGTTAAAAATACACCCCCAAATCAAAGGACATTCTCAGAAACAACAGCAACACCAAAAACATGCCACCTGTGCTGCATGCCCCTCTCCAGATTGATTTGGGTGGGTAGATGGGTATTTACAGGGACTCTCACTGGCATGTCTTTGTGTCAGTTCACACCTGGATGATGAACACAGCAGACTGAACACAGCTCAATTGAGCACAGCCTGGCACAAAACAATTTGCTTCACTGAGATGGGCAACAAAACCTACAGCCTTGAGCGTACTACTGTCCTGAGACAGCATTACCTGTCCTGTCTCCTGGGCAAAGTATTTCGGCAGAATTTGGGGCTAGCAGCAGGGGAAGAAAGAGGGCTGGAAAGAGCAGTTCAACAAGACAGAAAACAAGAGAAGGAGTATTAGAATGAAAAGATGAGAGAACAAAAAGGCGTTACAATAAAACACAATCAGAACCCCAAACTGTCAGAACATTACATTCAGGTGCAATTTTCTCCACTGAGACAGCTACAAAAATCTTGATACCTGAACTCATCACTATACATCAGGATGTAGCTGATTTCTAGTTCTTGGAAGGGTTCTACTGCCATCTACAAGGGGTCCCTCAGAGACCATTGCCGAGTTCACCCCAGTGTCAGCTCAGTGTGCCACCAATGCAGCTCTGATGCTGGAAAAGCCCTGTTCCCTCCTCCCTGCTCAGCCTCCTCTCAGGTCCTACCCTGTGTCCACACAGGTACCAGTGAATCTCATCGTATACAGAGCTGGGGAACTGATCAGTCTGAAATACAATTCAGCTGATTGTTTTTCACTTGGATCCAGCTTCTAATAGGACTCACCACGCATTCACATGAATGCTTGTGCTAAAATATTGTAGGGAGCAATTGGAGATGGGATAAGGCAGCAGGGAGAGGATGAGAAGGGATCAAGCGACTATGGAGATGGGGACTTGTCTTTTCAGCGTCACCTCCAGTTTGAAAGTTGTCAAATTCTATAATCAAAAAGTTTAACAGGAAACAGTTGACTTTTCAAATCAAAATTCGGAGGCTTTTTAAATATCACTATCAGCTCAATTAACAGAAGATCTTTGGAAAGATAACCAATGATGCAAAATTCAAGTATTAGGTACCATCTGGTAGCAAAAACAAGTTGTCACATTGGCTGTCACAGCAAATTAAAAACCTCATCTGAACCCATCCTCCTGCTCTTCTCCTGAAATAACTTATCTTTATGTTCTAGTCCTAGAGTTATGTGCATTATCTGGTAAGAGGCATTACTTGATCTCTGTCTGCAGTGCTGGCTACTGCTGGCAGGGCTTCATTCCCACCTGAGATACAAATATATGGAAACAAGAGAAAAACCCACAAACCTTTCAGACAATGTAGTCTTAACACTGTTGGTTCGGATGAAGGGAGTCAGAGAATCATCCTTGGAGGCTTGAATCAAGCCACTGGAGGAGTTATGGCTCAGCCCACCTCCACTGCTCAGGGAGATGTCTATGGATTCGCAGCTGGTGTGAAGGCTGCTGACAGACTGGTATCCAATGCCATCCTTGCTAACTGCAGAAGAGCTACTAGCGTTGGTACCCCACGTCAAACTGTTGGAAGGAGCCGAGTGTGCAGAACTGGGGCTGGAAGCTAGTGGAGACTGGTTGAGATCTGTGTTTTTACCATAAAGGGGACTGCTGCCCCCACTGCTCAGCACACCACTGCCAGATGGGGAGTCAAGATTACCCTGCTGGTTCATGGTAGCGTGAGGGTTGGAGATGACTACTGAGTTTTTCATATTTTCAGCTGTTGTGATGGGAACTTGTTTACTAGGCTTGCCACCAAAAAGTCTGTAAAAAAGAAGACAGCATGAAAAATACATAAAATGGAATAGTAAACACAATGATATCTTATATCTAGACCATATATATCATCTTAGCTTCAGAAAACCAGTATTGAGTACATGATCCTAGATTGTACCTATGCAGCTATACATTTATAATTTCCTTGTCTTTGTTGTCCCTTTCAAAAGCCCAGAGGCAACTACAACAGCTTCAAATCTATCTCAGATGTGTTATCTTTGAATCATCAACCAATACTTTCACAAAGCTAAAATACAGCTTCACAGAACTAAGATACAATTATATAATCTTCTGTTCCTTAAGGAAAAAGAATACCAGAGAAACAATCTGATGTATGGAATACTAGAGATTGAAAGCTTACTGATGAGGTAAATTCTGCACAAATCACCAAATTTGCACAAATCTCTGCACAGAAGCAGCTTTTGCTGGGATGCAACAATGTACTCATTTTACCAAATGTAGGCTTATTTCATTCCATGAGCCAAGCTGTCTGGAAACTGTATTTTTTTAGTGGAGAATGTGATGTTACCTGCTTTTTGGCATCTGGAACTGGCTAGTGAAACACTAAGTGAGCTCCAGAACTTGGGGAGGGAGGGGATGGAGGAGACTGATCACAGCATTACTGCTGCCTGTGATGCAGCTGCACTGCCAAGGATGCAAAGACTCTAGTTCCCTCATAAACAGTCAATGGGAAACTTCTCAGAAGTGCCCAAATGACTCAGTAGTAAACATTCCTTGGACTAAATTATCAATCATTCCAAAACCGATCTTCAAAATTAGGAAGTGTATCTTCCACTCCAGCTTCAAACACCCATCCAAAAACATTGCTTTTGTTTCTACCACTTGGCTCCTGTAACTACCTTTGGAACCTTAGATTTCCCCACACGTACCTGTACGGATTTGCTCTTTTAACATTCATTCACTGTGGAGTACTGTGGGGGAAACTTCTCAGAATAGAGGACTACAGCACTTCCATATAAGTGTTCCTAAAGTCTTAGGGGTGAGTGTGCACCAGGAAGAACCTCTGCTGTTTTGGAGTATGCCCAGGTTGTTGGACACATGGACACTAAGTCACTTTGTCCATCACTTCTCAGAAACACAGGCTGCGTTACAGCTGGGCACCTGCAGCACACCTGGAGCAAGCCCAGTGCTGCCCAACAGCAGTGTCCACACTGCACAGGTGCTTCCTGCAGCTCCAGTGCCTGGAACACACCTGAGCTGAGCAGCTGCTGCTGCGTACTTGCCACAAGGCATCTGGATAACACTTCCAACTGAGAGAGCAGGTTTAGATCAGACCTAATAACAAATTCTTTCCTGTGAGGGTGGTGAGGTCCTGGTACAGGCTTCCAAGGGGAGCTGTGGCTGCTCCATCCCTGGAAGTGTTCAAGGCCAGGCTGACCTGGGGCTCTGAGCAACCTGGAATAGTGGAAGGTGTCCCTGCTTACGGCAGGGGAGTCAGAATGAGATGATCTTCAAGGTCCCTTCCCACCTAAAACAGTCCATGACTGCATGGCCTTCAGCAGTTATACCAGCTTAGGGTATTCCCTAAGGTATTTTTGTGCCAGAGCATACAACCTCTTCAGCTGCACTGGGGAAACCACTCTTAAAGAAAGGATCCCAGAGCTTAAAAGACCCTGAACACCCACACAACAGTTTTACAATGTTTTTTAAGCTACTCCCTGTTTATGACAACATGGAAGTTACATATATTCACAAACTTATAGGTAAGTCTGTATCATTACAAAGGTATAGATTCTAATTCACTAATTCACTGTGTAATACAAAAAAAAAAAAATAAGACCAAGAGGAAATATGCAAAAAACGTCTGCAACTCAACTGACTATGGAAATTATGCTCAAAATCTTCACTGTCATCCTAGAAATCAGTAATATCAGATGAGGTCCAATTCAACTCTGACGCATTTCAACACATGACAAATTTGAAAGGCTGGTGAAAATTCAAGCGTGAAATTGTAAATCAAATGAGAGAATAGTTAAATTCAGCTTCAGTGTCTGCTCTTTGAAGTTTCATGTATTTCTAATGCAGCATTTCAATTACACAGCCATCAATGTAGCTTTTCAGTAATAAAAAAATTCCCAATCACATTCCTACCAATGTGTCTGAGGCACACTGAAATCACTGGAAACACTGTAAATCTGCATTTCTCATTGTGTACCTTACAGAAGTGAAAGGCCTACTGGAGTTTTTAAGTAGCCATTGATGAAAACTACATGTTCCAAAGTACATGGCTTATCTATTGCTAACCAGGTACAAAAATAAAGTATCTTCAATTATCCTTACACAGACTCTTTATATAAAAACACCCATCTAAAAACAGTTTACAGCATCAGCCTAAGCTGCCATCACATCCATTATGCTTGCACTGGTGCTTCAGATGGAATGTGGCTTTCTCACATCACTGGAAGCAGAATGATGGAGCATAACTGTATGGGTATTATGGGCGTCACAACAAAATGAAATGCAAAACACTGCAACTTGAAACAGACAAGCTACTCAAATTCTGTTGAAAAATAATATTAACAGAATTTTTTACCAATATCAAGGCTTTGACATACACTGCATCAAGAAACTAGCTCCTCACCAACTATTTGTTAATGTTAATGTGTGGGGTGCTCCTGGAGAAATAGAACACAGATAGGATTTTTGTCCAAAAAATAGTACTAAAATAATAAAATTTGACCTAGCTTAGACAGTAACTTTATTTAGGGTTCTTCTACACAGGCTAAAATGTTGGGTCTTGCAACATACTGGGCTAATCCACACAACTTATAATAGTTTGCTTTGGATGGATCTAAGCATGGCAGGTCAATGCCACTGTCATGAAAATCTGAGATAACCCTCCGGTTGTTGGTTTACAATTTGATCCACCACTAGAATATTTCCAGGTTTATTACCTAAACATTTGTGCAAGAACTCTTCAGGAACCTTCAGGTAAGAAAGTTCTTATCCCTATGATATCTGCATGGGTAAAAGTCTTCAGGTATGGTTTCTGCAACAAGGAGACTCAAATCGTAATTGCCAAACTTTCTGCCAGACAGGTTTGGTTTTTTTCCTAAATGTTAGACTTCTGCTGCTGTCACATCATGTCCTAAGTATCCACAACACTGGCCAAACCATTCATGTAAAATTAAATGTAAGTACAAAGACCTTGAAATAGGACACTAAATAGTAAGCGCTGCACCAAAGCCAGCCAGGCCTGGCTGGCAGAGTCCTGCTCATTCAGCTCCCACTAACACCACTGCACAACCGAGGAATTTGTTGCCTACCTGCGCAGAGTGGGAGAAGCCACATCGGGGTACTTGACTCCTTGCTGGTGGGTACTCTGAGCTCCGCTAGCAGCCAGCTGTGATGCAGGGTTCACTTTAACAGAATTACATGAAGCCACGCTTTCGTTGTCAGACGAAATCCCTTTCTCTTTATCAGTCTGGTTGACTAATCCTGGCAGAGAGCTTCCAAGGATTACCTTGGCAGGTTCTCTGATTTTAGGGACAGGCAAACCAGCTGACTTGCTGCTTATGTTGGAGTCTATGCTACTTGTGCTAGATCTATTCCCAGCTCCACTTCTGCTACTGGATTTACTGGGCCGGGGTAAGCTACGGTACTGAAGATTAGTTCGTGCACTAAGTGCTAAGTAGCCATCATCCTGGTTCTGGGAGCCATCAACACTAGTCTTCCGACCAGTGGTCCTACCCATGAGTCCAGATGACTTGGGGATCTTTCCCAAGGTAGCCGATCTACTGGTGAGAGTTGCCCCACTGGCAGTGATTATGGTCATGCCTACGGCTGACCCACTCTGTTTCTTAAATCCAAATGTATTAGCATTAGCAGCAGCTGTCCTAGAATTACTTGTGGGAAGCTTTTTGGATTCATCACCACTGCTGCGTCCTGCATCTGATGGGGAACGTTTAACATGTCCAGCTTTAGGAGATAGTCTACCCTTTTCTGATACCTTGGCGTCATCAGTTTTCCCTACAAAAATAGAAAAAGAATTCTAATATTTAATGACTTGAAAACATCAAGCAAATGATGAAACTCAAAGCAGCATGAGAAGCAAAAGCATGTTAGCCACTGGAGTGCGGTTCAAAGTTATGATCTAGTCTGCACTGAACTTACATGCCACTCTAGTGAGTTACACATGCAGACTTGCCAAAGAAAGTATGTGGTGCCTTTGCTGTCAAGAATATGAAAAGCAGAACAGCCTTACATAATAGTGACAGATAAGAAAAAAAGTTTCGCTCTGTAGCTATCACAGGTTGATAATTTCTATCATTACACACTAGTAGTGTTAGGTTGATAGCATAATTTCCCTCAAAGGCATTGTTAAAACATTTGTATTGCTCAAGACAGTATCTAACTTTAACTTTTTCATATACAATTGTGTACAAAACCTAATAAAAAGAGAGGTATTAAATTATATTTTTTGATTATGCAAATTCAATCCATTTTCATTCACGTATCTGCAAGTGCTAAAATCATTAATACACTTACAAGAAAAGCCAGAAATCATGTTTAGTATAAAGAAATATGTTTGTTTAGTAAGAGGAAAAAAAACCCAAACTCCTCAACCATATATATATTGTATGTTCTAGTGACTTCAAAAACTAAAATTATATTATTTATTCTTCACACAACAATATTGTGCCAAATAAATAGCTCGGCTTAAGACCAGAATTTTCATGAAAACAACTGGCAGGGTGTACATCTGAAATACACATTTTCAGACAGAAATAGAAACGTGGACATACAAGATGCTGCTCAGGTTAAAGCAATGCCTAAAAATACAGACAGGATTACCTGAAGTTCAGGTTCTGCCTCTGCAAAGTATTTAAACTGTTTTCACACTGAACACACTTTTTGGCTTGTTTACATCTTAAGCCTTTTCTCACCTGTTCCAGGTGTCTTTAATGTGCCTGGGGCAGTTGAAGGTTTAGGCCTTGGTGTGGTAATGCCAACCTGAGCTGACATGCCCCGTCGCCAGGAGCCCGTCTGGGAAATAACAGTGTTCTTCCTACCAGAAGTGCTTTTATCAGACTCATCTGACACATCAGAAGGATTCCGCCTCCATTTAGATCCCGGCTCCATTTTTATGCCGCTATCAGATCCCCCGTCGGATTTCTTGACTTCATCACTGGACCATAAGGAATTCCGTTCCACCTGGGAATGCTTTTCTGCATCAGTCTAGGACAGACAAGGAATTGCAAGACAACTTTCAGAGCAAGTCTTTCTTTTAAGAAGCTTCCTAAGTAAGAACCATCAACCTGATTAATCAGCTCAGCAGTCATCTCTGAGTACCACCAAACATGACATGACTTTGATGAAGAAATGTCACAGCAAGAAATTAACCCCAGAAATGACTTTTTTTTTAATATGCTTTGTGAGAAAAATACAAAAAACACAACAGCCATGCTCTTGGAATAAATAAAGAAAAAACCCTTCTTGATTTATAAAGAACGTACTCAGCTCTATGACATTTATAATCCTCCATCTCAAATTTCTGACAAACCCTTTTACTGCAATGCCAAAAAAGCATTTCAAACCTGTGCAGCCAGACTTCCTTTGTTCCTGCTTCTTTCTTATCTCTTGTCTGGCAATCTGATCTCCAGAGCATGAGGAGGCAGCTTTTGGAACAGATCCAAATATGTGGAATGCTGTTAATTCTAACCTAACATAGTAGAAGGACACCGAAGAACTGAAGAAAAGCTTTCTAACAATACTCAAGACTGACTTCAATACATTAATTTCCTTTAGTGTCTCTGCAAGACTGTTCTTCCCTGACTCATTGCACAGATTGATTCTGCTACCAGTCTCTTATAAAGAATTTCACTAAGCTCAATGTCAAATAAAAAAATTTCTCATTAGCAAAACTTTGCCAAAATCTCAGAAATGCTGAAATTAAATCTATTACCCTATATATGTGAATATTTTATATATTCACCACACATTAACACTTTCCACTGCTAATGATTATTCTTTCAGAATTCTAGTCCAGTCAAATGCTGTTGATTAAATTTGGCAAATGTGGTAAACAAAAACCAACCATTTTGTGATCAGGCACAAGTGACAAATATCCCCACATTTGACTCTGTTCGGGATAAAAAAAAATCATAGCTGAAGTGCTCGCCAATGACCACAGCACCATGAAAGAGACTGACAATTCAATACTTGACTGTGCAGTTCCCAAGTATGGACTGATGGGTTTTGGTGTGGTGTTGAGTGCCACCTCTGCCCTGCAGCCTCAGCACAATATGAATGTGCTCAGAACTGTGTGGCAAGTAAAAGGAATAATTCATTTGAAAGGAAATTATTTTGAATATCCCAAAGCATTATGAAGCTCACAGTCCTTGTTCCCTTTAGATAATCAGAAAAACACAGCACAGGAGAAACTGTAAGATTATTTACCATGCTTTTCAGCTTTTATTTTTAAGTTCCTAAAGAAGGTTTTAAGTTTATGACTTTTCCTATCAGATCACACCATTAATATTAAAGAATTTAGGGGAACTGTGGTTGAATTTCCTCTGTTTTTTACTGCAATTACGTTTTTTTTAAAGCCTGAAAAACTAGTTAAGCAATCAGTGTATGAAAGCTGGCACCACATATCACAATGGTCTTTATTCGGTTGGGAAACAGGGCTTGGGTTATTTATCTACATATTGAGTCATTAGACTAACATGCAGTTTGAATTATGGATTTATGGATAATATATTCTTGTACTTCCCTCATGCTACGCAAATGTTGTTTCCCTGCCTCTCCATTCAAAGAGAGCAACAGTGTAGGCTTGAGTGGATCTCTGCTTTCTAACTCCCTTCTCTTCCTATGCCTGCCAGGTTTGGGGTTGGTGGGTCACCTTTCTATTTCTGACCATCAGTAGGTGTGTAATAAATTCCCAGTGTGACTGTTCCTATGTCCCGTGCCTCTCCAAAACCACTATTTCATGCAAACATGTCCTACATTGACAGATCTTGGAAGAGAGCACAGGCAAAAAGTACCAAATAATCAACCAACAAAGCCACCATTCCTCATGTGGTCACTTCAGTATCTTGTTCCAAGCTCCTTGCCTGGAATTGTGTGTATGAACTGTTAGCTTTCAAGAACAAGAAATACACCTACTTGCTAGCAAAGGCCTTATTCTAGAGTTTTGATTGACAGGAAATATTCCTGTACCTTCTATTTCCCACCCCATAATCTGTAAAATTAGTACAGTCTCCACAGAGAGAACAGGACGGCAAGAAGTTCTCTACCTTTGCTCTCCTCCATTTCATTCCACTACCACACCCACAGCCAAAGTTTTCCTGCAGCCTTTGAAATGCTGCACCTCCACCTTTGAATCCCTCTAGCCAGAGATATTTCTGTTTAATGCTAAACACTGAGAACAGCACAGAAACATGACTAAGGAATTAAAAGCAAAACACAGTGAAACCTGGCTTGGGGATTGCAGCTGAAACTCCACCCGCCCAGAAGGGTGAGAGTGGAAATACGCTTGGCTGGAGGTCATGGCAAGACACAGCCAGCATGAGCTGGGAGCAAACCATCAGGATTTCTCAACTCACTCATAAAGTTTTGTAAATCTGAAGCTGTGAACAGACCAAACCCACTTTGCTGAGAAGATGTCTTATACAACTCCTTAGGGATGCTGCAGTTTTCTATTTAAAGGAACGTTTCTATTTTCTGATATTTTTGCCATCATATGATTGAATTTATTACTTGGTCTCTTTCTCCCATCTTATTTCAGTTAAATAAGTTATTTTTAAATGCCTACCAGGACTTAATTTCTCCTTAAAGTATGCATATGGTGTGACTTTAAAGGCACACTAGGTGTAGAACTGTGATAAAGGTAACTTACCTAATTCTGTGCAATAAAAAAGAAAAATATTAGGGTGCCAAAATGCATATAACTACATTAAGTAGTTTGGTACTTGGCATAATCACAGCAAGACATGGAATATGTGGTAAGGCAAATGCTGGCTCCCATCAACAGCTTGCTCAGAAACAACTTGCAAACATCTTCACTGCATTGCTATAAAAAGGGGCTACAGCTATGAATGTCTCTGAAGATGGAGTTAATATAATATTTAAATCTGGTTTCTCAAAGATCGGAGAAACTACAGCTTCTGGAGTATGGGTACTCATCTGTTGGGAAGGATGAAAATTTAACAGAAAAGTTTAACAGATATGAATGTTTAGCAGAAGGTTCTCTAGAAATGAAAGCAAGTTTTGATATATAAAAGATGTTTTTAGGGCCAGTCATTGCTGAAACAGCTGAGAGAACAAAGTTTAGTCGAGTTGGAAGGTTTAGAACAAAGGTTTAGTCAGTTGGAAGGAGGTTTTATGGCTAAAGTCCAACAGGTTAAGTGGTCTTCAAACAAAGCATATTTTCTACCAAGTGAAAAAAGCATAGGCAGGCAGAAAGATGTTTTTTACCAAAGCAAGAAGAATTTTCCACTGCAAAACAAGTTTCAAAGTTTAACACGTAACTACTAACCCTAATGATTGATTAGTCACTAACATAATATGGAAATTTTAGAAGTTTTGATAGGTTATATGTAAATGTAAAGGTATTGTGTATGATGCTGATTGGTTGTTATGTATTAAGATGCTCAGCAAAGAAAAATATATACATTGTAACCAGAACTAAATGGTCTTCAGACACATGGCTTGCCTATAGCCAGCAGCTGCAGGCTGACCCATGACCCCCAACTGCTGTAACTTAGTCTATGGAATAAACAGTGCTTTAAAGAAGAGTTGTCTGAAGTCCCCATCTCTTCATCAGGCTCTTACACTCATCAGCTCTGAAAATCAGCTTCTCAACAGAGATTTTTTCCTACTGCAACTATGCCTTTCTTTTCAGAGATTATTCTGCCTGAGTTACTGATTTTATCAGCCGACACTGACATGTTCAGGCTCTCTCCCTTTGATGTTGCTGCATTATTTGCCTGGACTCCCAGCTGCACATATATTAGCTTCAAGCTCTCTCCTTAATTATCTGAAATCCAACTTCTGTACCCCCTCAAAGAGATGTGACAGAACCACAGCAGGCCAAAAGTGCCTACTGTTTAGGAGAATCAAAGCAAGGGACATCCTGGGAAGAAGAGTCCTCATCTCTCTGCAAATGAGTGCTAGTCCTTTGTGGCTCATCACCCTGGGCAAGGCAAACCTGGGCACTGGCCATCACAGAATCCTTTAGGAAAGACAGAAAAGGTGTCTCTGCAACATTCACTGCATCATGCGCTCTGAGGTCTACAACTGGCAGCAAAAAACTAACCCTGCAAGCTACGCATTTCAGCTCTCCAAGTTCTTTTCATTCCCTTGGCTGACAAGACTCAGGTAGTTTGTTCCACTGAAAATGAACTGTTTTACAGGCAATAATTTGCAGATAACAGAATACCTGGAATAAAGATTGCCATTCATGAAAACTGAGGAGAGAAGCAGGTCAGAGACACACATCACACCAAAAAATTGCAAACACAACTTGTACGTTCTTGGCTCCCAGCTTCCTCTGCCAATAACTACACTCTACTGCCTGAGCAAGCTCCAGCAGCTTTTCTTCTGGTGTCTGTCTGCACCCTCTTGGATACTGTAACAGTTGTGGAGGAGGAAGAGGAGTTTGTCAACACAGATTTTGATCTCTCAGAGGTGTTTCCAAGAATCTGATCCATTAGAAGATAGAAGTCATATGAGTTTCTATTTTTTTTCCCTTAGGTTAATGTTTAGTCACGTCTCCCTAAGTCTTCCTTTTTTCATCCCAACAGTATTACAATGCTGAGACAGTAACAATTGTCAAAAAATATTCCTAGTTTCCCATCTTACTCTCTGTCAGGTACTGACAAACATGCTTGATAGATCTTAACTCCTCTCAGCTTGCATGAGACTTGTATTATCAGTTCCAAGTGCCTGTGCAGTCACTGATAGGCAACCAGAGGCTACCTGGAAACCCTTCATGTAGGCTTAAATATGCACTGTATGGCAAGGGAACAAAGACTACTCTGCTTGCACCACAGCTCTGGAGACAGAGCAATACTTCACAGCAACCACATGTCTACATTAAAACTGATGTCAAAAACAGATTTAGGATCCACTGATGAAAAGAACCGGAGAAGATTAAAAGAGGGAAGAAACAGAGGAGCACCCCTCTCCTCTACCTGCGGCACTGCCAGGTCACCACATCCCAGTGGCTTCAGCACACAGCACCTGAGTCCCTCAAGCAGGCTATACAAAGAACAAAGCTGGACTCTGTAGTCCTGCACTTTCCCAAACAAAAATCTATGCAATTGGTAAAAAAAAGCAGCTTATATTAGTGCAAATCTCTGTGTTACACAGTTTATTTGATGAAAAACTTTCAGATGTCTTCACTTGTTCCACCTCTTTGGATACGTGGTGTCTAAGCACAAAATGTACATGTATCCTGCTAGTGGAGGCAAAGTTTATCCTCCTGTGAAATGCTTACAAACACAGAAAGCCTTCAATAACACACAGCTCTGGAAATTTAATAAAATCCATTTCATTTGCACAGCATGCTTACATTTCTGATAAAAGTGTAAACTTCTGAATTTTCATGTTAACTTTATTGTATTCAATTATTTAAGAGAAAAACCTAACACCTTTTCTAGACCTAAAAAAAAATCTATATAAAATCCCATTTACATCTGTTTCTGTGCAGCTTTTCTAGGAAGGTGAGACCCAATTGTTGTGACATCACCATGGCAGAGATGTTGCAGGTTCCATCCACAGAGGAAATATTTGTAAATGCCGTGGATGACAAGGTGGGTACTATTGATACTGTCTACACTGAAGGCTGGCTGTGTGCTCAAGTTCAACCAACCCAAAGCAATTACACCTCCTGCCCAGTGAAAATAATAAATATCAATGTTACTTGAATAAACCAAACCTCTTACCTGTGCATCTAAGTTCTTGCGGGAGGAGGCAGGTGTGTTGGCATAGGAGCTGATAGAGGAGCTGGTGTTAATGTCATCGGTACTGAGATTATCTATGGTGTCACTGATCCCACTGCTGACAGAGCTGCTGTCATCCCAGCTGGAGAAAAAACACAACAGAGGGAGAAAAAAGAGTCAGAGGACAAGACATTATTCAAAAGGAAAAGTATTATTTCTACAACACTGAGCCCACTTGCACTTGCCCAAAAGGCCAGTGTATGCCATCACCAAGCCAAGGGCACCAGCGACACAGCTCTTTCTGACTCATCTGGAACGTGTGCCTGCAGTCCCAGAGCAGGGGAATGTAGCGGCATGAAGGGATATTAGCAGGGAAGTTTTTCATTTGAAGGTGGTGAGGCCCTGGCACAGGTTGCCCAGAGAAGCTGTGGCTGCCTCATCCCTGTAAGTGTCCAAAGCCAGGCTGGATAGGACTCTGAGCGACCTGGGATAGTGGAAGGTGTCCTTGCCCTTGGCAGGAGGATGGAACAAGATGATCTTTAAGATGATTCCACCCCAAAACATTCTATGATTCTGTGATCTCCAAGTAGGCATAGCACTGACTTGCTAAGCTGTAAAACAGAGATGGAACTTGAATGTAAGAAAAAAAAAAATTCAGCCTGAAGCAACTTTTTGTACCTGGGTGTTTCACAGACCTGGGCAACAACCTGAATCTATCATCAACAGCATCAGCAGCCTCACAAAATTAGCAACTAGAAGTTCAGTCCTTCAGATGACAGATAACGCTCCTGAGTTGCACCACACTTTTCAAGAAGAGCAACTATTCAGGACCTTCTTCCAGCATGCGATAGCTTCAACGTTTCCCAGTAAATGAGAAATGCGTCGCTGGAAGTTTAGGACAAACAACATTTAGAATCTCAGCTTCAGATTTTGGGAGCTCCAGGCTCTCTTCCATGTTACATTTCTGTTTGCTTTACAAACTTGTAACAAAGAGATTCCAATGAAGTTTCTGGATGGGCAGTGAAAGCTATATTCACAAACCAATATACTGAGCAGTTAATATATGCATTTAAACCTAAACACCTGAACTGTCTTAAACTGTGTTAAGAGAACTGTGTAAAGAAAGGCAACCTTTCTCTGTTTGCTTGATCTTTATTCATCACTTCACCACTGATTTACTATCGCCTTTCTACATAAACTTTGTCAGCTTTGAAATGAAAGGCATTTCATTTTTTCCCACTTAGCAAAACACCTTCCTGCATGACTTTTAATGCTGCTTTAATAATTTTAATTGCATTTTCTTACTTGGGAGTACAATGTTCACCCATATCTGTACAAGGCCTTTTAGGGAACTGAGCACAGCTTGAAGAGCAGCACAATTTGCTGAACCACAAATGAAGTGTGGCCACAGGGACATCCTCCTCTGCATGTCACAGGAAGGCTTATTGCTGGCAGTTGCTCCTCGCTGAGTGCTCTGTTTCCAGTGAAGGTCTTCATCAATGTGTCAGCACAGTTAGTTGTTCCCCTTCTCCCATATCCCTGTGGATAAGCCAGCTGGGAAGCTCAGATCAACAGCTCCAGCAAGCCAAGAAAGGAAATCTGGGATGTTCAGCCACTCTGCTGGCAGAGAACAGGAATGGGGAGGGACCGGGACACACTGCTGGCCCCTGCCACAGGCTCTCTTTGATGAACCCTTGGGGTCACCCTTCATCTGGTTTTCTCCAGTTCATGAGAATTCACTCCTGCCAGCTCTGACTGACTTTCAGGGGTGTCCCAGTTACAGGATTTCCAAGAAGATTTTCCAAACGCTATTTGATAAGCCTGCAGACACTCCAGCTCTCGTGACTGGAAAGGAATGCTGCAGTCTACAGTATAAGTGATGCCACAATTCAAAGGAAAGAGAAATTTTTTCCCCAGATTTGCCTTTCTCAGATTTGGGTTAAAGGGAATCCATTGCAATACAAAATAGAAATCCATATTAAAATAAAACTCACAGTGTGAGACCTCCTGAATCTGAGAAAGCCAGACAGGCAGATTTGACACACCTGTTTTATTTGCCATCTTGAAATATCTTTTCCAGCATAACTGAATGAAAGATGTGTTGCTTATGCCAAGAAATGATAGGGGGACTTAAAAATCCAGAAAAGGATTGAAAGACTTCTTTGAAGCACTTTTTTTTAAGAATAGGCAATTAAATATCATAAGGCAAAATACCGAAAGCCGTATTACTTCTAAATTTCAGTTTTGAAAAAATGTCCTATAACTGATATTCATTTCTCTTTCCAAACCTATCACATAAAGCAATTACAATTCCTAGGTAAGTCTACAAATAAGGTTACAAAACAGTTAATAAAATTACTGAATAAAAAAATATGCTCTGTGGTTTCCAAAGTTTTGTGTAGCAACAAACTTATTTCCTATTTCTGGACCTAAAATAAAATAACAATCCTAACAGTAATAATATCATCAATGCAAATGCCTTCTGTGTTTAATAGTTTTATTTCCTTCTTATGGAAATATGGCAGTGGGGAAAAAAAAAAATTAATTTTCCTCTGTGTGACTCCTAGTCCCATCTTAAATGTATAGAAACTGAAACAATTTATCTTCAAGCACTCACAATTTTTAAACTACCACAGGCCCCAGTTCATCAACATCTAAAGAATGTGTTTAATGTTAATCATAAGTAGTTTTTCTGGCATCAGAGAGTCCTTTTGGCTTCAGTTGGGCAATCTAAGGCATTATGAAAATATTTGAGTGCCCTTCTGAACTGGTACATGTGCCTGAGGACAAAGGCAGAAACATGCACCGGAATACATTGATGGTTGTGGCTTCCCCTTGTGTGTATCCTGGGCTTTACGTCCTTTATGTTCTGGTGGAAACAATGAATTACTCCAACTCTGTATTTTCAAGCTTACTATATCTGTTACTAAATAAAATAAAAAATAAAATATTAGCTGTTCTGAGGTCTGAAGATAGATGTCTGGATAGATTTTGGGTGCCACAAGCCAAATGACACAGCTCTCATGGGTATACTGGTGACACTGGTGCCCAAGCTGTTCTGACAGGGCAGTATGTGTAAACCCACATACCTGTCTAAACTCAGATAGCTTTAGCTTTATTTAACAAATATCACTTCAGAAGAAGGGTGGGAGTGCTGAGTCTCTAGCTAGAAAGAACAACAGCATGTAAGAGAACATGAAAACACCTTAAGAAATAAATAATTTGGTATACCTACATAAACAACTACTGATGCTGCCCTTTGAAATAGCACTAGAGAAGGCTGGTAGAATTCACTGAACTCTGTAAACTAGATGCCAATGCAAACCACTTTATGAGCATTCAACATATGCAGCTAAAAAGCAATGCCACAAATTCTGGGTAAAGCTGTGGCTCCTCCAGGGGACAGTAATCATCACCGAACTGAGGCATTTGTTTCATGCTGTTCTTGAAACCACCCCAAGCCCTCCACATAAATTAGTTCATTTTTACCTTGATCCAGTGCCTTGATGGTTAAAGTCAAAAGTGAGGAAGCAGAATGGGGCATCTAACAGCCGTAATTATGGTGTTCTTGGCTCCCAGAGCCAAGATAGCATCTTTGTAATTTAGCTGGTGCAATTAATAATTTCTGATGTCAGCAAAAGTCTACTCAAACATAACCTGAAGCTGAAATGTTTGGGCTTTCCTTTCTTTATTTGATCAATCACCTGAAACTTTACTTTGATTACTGAAAAATGTAAATTTAAAAAAAAATTAAATAAAATCTTAAGTGTATTATATATGAAAATTATACTACCACCCACTTAAAATCCACCCCTGCCACCACTTAAAAACTGCCATGACGCTGCCTCCCACTCTCTATGAAACCAAGCACCCCAAGGACCTCCCTCTGCCTCCCCACCTCACTCTGCTCACCCTAATGCAACGTTGCTACTACACATCGCCCACGTACAGCACCAGATCAACTGCTCAAAGCTGCTTTTTCAAACAGGTTTGCAAAGCTGTTAGGCTTAGACTTGTATTTTTCCACAGTCTATCAGCACTTTTCCAATCTGCATAATCATCACCCACAGACTTGGCTCTTCTTTGTCAACTTGGACAGCGCGCAAAGTCATTCTGTGATCCTCAGGACAGCCCCTCTTGTTGCAGAAATCTTCCCTCTTTGCAAAGGAGTAATTAAAATCCCTCCAAATAATGCTATTGTTGAAGTCTGAAAATACACCTTTCTCTACAGATGGGTATGGATTTTAATTTTGTTGGATCTTCACTCAAAACCAAAATTACAATGAGCTGCTGAAAAATACATTTGTCCAAGAAAGGGCCTTGGGGCTCTACAATCTTTCAAGTGGAAACATGGCAATTATCCTCTTCTATTTAAAAATTTAACTATTTATGAGTTGAAAGGTGAACAACAACAACAAGAAGTAAGATCAAGGTACAAAATTATTGAAACTTCACAGCATGTTCAAAGATTTTAAAGGAAAAATTAAATATGCTATAACATGAGACAGTAAATACTGCAGTTTCCACTCTTTTCTTCTGGGATTTCCTGCAGCAGTGAGAATCGGGCCAGAAATCCAGAAAGCACACACAGACCCTTGCACAGTTTTCTTTTCAAACTGTTCTGAAACTGAAACATAACCACTTGTAAAAGAATGGATGGAAATCTACCTCAAGAGAAGTTAATTTAATTAATGTGTTTTACCTGCTATTAATCACCCACCTCCCCCATTATCTCCAGTTACTATTTTCTTACATCTCACTATAGGTATTTAACATAAACCACTTCATTTCTTATGAAAAGCAGAGCCCAGGAACAAGACTGTTACCTTGAAACACTTAGTAAAGCCAGACCAAGAAAAGTAAACCAGGAAAAATTAATACAGAGCCTTCCCAGTTGTTCTTTCTGGAGCAGAATCTAATCCTTTTAATGACATTTTTTGGTGCAGAGTTAAAGTGCTGGAAGTGTGCTGTGAGCTACTCAGATGTTTTCATGTTAGTGACTATTTGGGTTACTGCCAGCAAGCTGAACTGTAGCTCTTTGTCAAGCTCTGTTTAGAATTCATCCAAGATAAGGTTTCAGGATTTACATTTAAAATACCTATTTGCAAAGGGAATAACTCACAGAACAAAATTATTCAGTGT